ATTATTTTTCTTTAGATTTGCAATCATAGCTTAAGTTTAATGAAGATATAAAGATTGTTATTACATTTCTGCTCTTAATTAATGAGTTTATTATTATTATTATTATAATTGAATTTATTGATTCTTAATTAATATTATTTATTACTCATTTTTTTATATTTCTTATTCATATTTATTTCTTACTAATTCTAATTCTTTATTTGTTCTAATATATGTTTTATTTGCTTCTGAAATTCTAAATTCACTATCCTTAATTAATTTATCCATACGTTTTTCATATGTATTTCTCAATTCTCCTAATGCAAATTCATATTAATCTTATTTAATTGCCACTTAAGTTTTATGTTCCTCTTATTATTATTGTAACATTTAAGTATATTTAATTTTCATTTATGCTTACTTCTCTATTTCTTCATTCAATTAATTAGTAAGTTCTTCCAATTTCTCATTATAAGAATCTACTAATTCAAAGTGTGAATTTTAATTTTTCTTAATTTTTTTGTTCTCATCCTCTATTAATTAATTTAATTAATATATAGTTTGATCTTTTTATTTTATTAACTCTTCTTAATGTATAATAATATTTTATTATTATATTGATTACTTGGATACTTCCATTTTGATTTGTTCATAATTAGAATTACGTTCTTCATTTAAAATTAGTAACTGGTTAGTTTATTGTTCCAATAATTGTGATTCTATATTACTTATTAGAGTTTGAAATACATTTCCATAATGTCTCTTACATGGATTTTATATCTTCCTACAAAATAGATATCAACGTTGGAAAATCTGCTATTCTCTTTATTAATTCTCTACTCTCAGTTTCTCTTATAATTTATGATAAATTCTCTCTTTATTACTTAGATTAATATAGAATAATAATACTTCTAAATAAGTTTAAGTTGCAAGTATAGTATTTTTAAGTTCATCATTTTCAGTTCTTAAGGGTTGTAATTATTAGATTACATGTATGATATTGTCTTCAACCTTTTGATTGAACAACATACTTGGTTAAGTAAGAAGACTTTTAACATCATTACATGTTTTATCTCTTTTTTTATTGTTTTTCTCATTGTTCATTATTTATGTTTACAAAAATTTTATACAAATTTTCTTAAACACCTCTACTTACAATTTCATTAATAGGTAGATCTTCTGTTGGTAAATCCTCACTTTTTAATAAATTGTAAACAGGTGAAAATGTAGCTATAACATCAAATCAAAAAAACATAACAAGAGATAGAAAAGAAGTAAAAAATCAAAAATATTATTTGAGGCTATATCTGAAATCTTTCCACTTCCTATTAGATTTGTTGATACTGCAGGAATTGAGAATGTAGCTTTAAAGAAGATTCTAAATCCATTATAATAGAAGATGTTAATGCAGACTATCAATGCAATTGAGTATTCTGACATAGCTTTATTTGTTGTGGATGCTAAAGCTGGTTTAACAAATATAGATCATTAAATTGCTAGATGGTTAAAAAAAACACTCTAATTAACTAATCCTGATCCTAAATTAGTTAATGAATTGAAGGAATTAGAAATCAAGACTAATCTTAAAAAAGCTATATTAGTAGCAAATAAATGTGAAAATGATGTTATTTTTGAAACTGATATTGATTCATAACTTAAAAGAATGGGACTTGGTAATCCTATTTATGTTTCAGCTGTTGATGGAACTGGATTCTAAGATCTTCTTACTAAAATCTCTGAAAACATACCTTAAGCTGCATTTGAAGAATATTAAGAAAGAAAATTAAAACGGAAGGAAAAATATAAAGAAATTAAAGAAAAATGTAGATAAGAAATGGAAGAAGTTATTTAATAATAATAAATTGAGTTTGACATGAAAATTTGGGTATTTTATCATTATTATTAATATAAATTAGGAAAAAGAATTTGATCTAGCCAATCCTAATCCTGAAGACAATAGTGATCTTGATGATGAAAATATTGCTAATCCAATTTATACTAAATCACCTATTCAAGAAAAGTAAGGAGTTTCAAAAGAAAATTTATAATTAAGAAATCCAATCATGCTTTCTATTATGGGAAGATAGAATGTTGGAAAATCTAGTCTAGTCAATACATTATTAGGAGGTATAGATTATTCTTAATTTTAGAGGATAGAGTTATTGCTGATCCAACTCCAGGAACAACTAGAGATCCTATATCTACATATTGGGTTTATAAAGGATAAAAAATTTAATTAGTAGATACTGCTGGAATTGAACCTAAACCAAAGATTTAAACTGATTTAGACTTATAAATTATTGCAAAAACAAGATCTACTTTGAGATTTTCTAATGTTGTTGTTTTATTAATAGATTCATTAGGAGCATTTAGAGAAGTAGATTTAGAATTAGCATAAGAGATTGTTAAATAAGGTAGAGGATTAATAATAGCTGTAAATAAATGGGATATGGTTGATAATGATTATAAAGCAAAAATAGTTAAATATTTGAAGGGTTAATTAGAAAAGAATCTTGGAGAAGTACCAAATTGTAAATTAATTACAATAAGTGCTGAAAAGAAAATTAATATTGATCTTTTAATGGATTAAGTTATTTAAGTTTATGATAAATGGAATACTAGAGTACATTATTTTTTTATCATTCTATTTAGGTTTCTACTGGACTCTTAAATGATTGGCTTAATAAATTTAAGAAGATTTAAAGTTTACCTTCTGAAGATGGTGATAAATTAAAAATTAGATTTATTGCATAAATAAAAGTGAGACCACCAACTTTTGCATTATTTATTAATTAAGGTTCTTTATTCAAAAGTATTCATTAATAAATTATATATTTTAGATAGTTATTTAAAGTTTTTGAGAAAGAAGTTAAGTGAAGAGTTTGATATATCAGGAGTTCCAATAAGATTGGTTTTAAGAGATATAGCATATGCTAAAGAAAAGAAAACTTTAGAAAGAGATAATGAAATGACAGTTGCAGATTTATTATTAAAAAGAAGGAGAATTGCTCGATTAGCTAAATAGAAATTAGAAAAATTGAAATAGAAATCTCAAGCAAATAAATAATGATTGAATTGTATTATATTTATATGACAAATATTATAATTTATAAAAAGTAAAAGGATCAATTTATATTTAGTTTTAAATTATAATCTTAGAATATATAATTTAATTATTAATAACAAGATTATAAATAAAACTATTTTGAATAAGAAATACAAATAATTATATTATTAAAAATAATAATATGTTATAAATTTATCTTTTATAATGGAACTAATTTATCAAATAACAGAATATAAATTTCATTAATTTATTTCATCTTTAATTATATTAAAAGATCCAATAAAATTGGTAAGTTTTTCAAGTGGAATAATTTATTCTTATGATGATTTATCAAAATTTAGATTTGTCTACATAATTAATGTACAATTCTTAAGTCTTGTAATAAGTGTTTAACTTTAATCTCTTGTTGTTAATGCTTTATCTCTGTTAAATTATTACATAAAAGGATTTTTTGAAAATGTTGGCATTGCTGATTTTTTTAATCTTTATAATTTGAATAAATATAAATTACATAGCCATGTTAACTTATTTTGGATAATCTATTTCATTTTCAATTTAATCTTCAGATTATATAAAGAATTTATGTTTAAGTAATTCAGTAGCTTTCCATCTATGATTTGGATTTTTTGCTAACATTTTAGACATAAGATCTCTTTCAACATCATCCAATTAATCTTATGAGAATCTTTAAAAATTGATTTCACATCTTCTATTTAATTCTAATTATTCTCTTCTATCCTTTTTTTCAAATAATGGTTCTCCAACTAATCTATATTTGCATAAATTAATACAAAACATAAAGTATTACACCAGCACTGAATATATCACAAACAGTAGAATATCTAGCAAACTCTGAATCTTATTCTAAAATTTCTGGAGCAACAAAACCTGGAGTACCACATTTAGGATAAGTATAAGGATGTTAATCACAAGATTAAGCTAAACCAAAATCTGCAATTTTAAGAGATTCTAAATCTTTTGACATAAATAATATATTTTCTGGTTTTAAATCTCTATGCATTATATTGAATGAATGAATAAATTCCAATCCTTCTAATAATTATCTCATAATTATTCTAATATCATTTCTACTAAATAAGGTAGATCTCTTTTTCATTAAAGAAAGTAGAGACCCTCCTTTGGCTAATTCCATAACTAAATAATAATTTTGATTTCCTATATATAATTCATGTAATTAGAGTATATTCTAATGTTTATGTTCAGATAGAATTCTCATGGTTTCTATCTCTTACATCAATTAACGATATCCATTTTTTTTTTCATTTATTTTCTATTAATCTATACATTTAGACGCATATTATTGATGATTATACAAACTAGTTAATTCAAGTACAGTAGCATAAGAACCCTTACCTAAAACGGATTCAGCTTAATATTCATCTTGTATTTTCATTTGAAATGCATACAAAGCAAATTTTTATTTAATTTCCCTTAGTTATTCGTTACTTCCAAAATATTCATATGAATGACTTCCAACTTAAAATGTTATTGATTTTAACATATTTTTAGAGTATTGCCATTAAATACGAGTGTCTGTATTGATTGCAAACTATCTCTCAGGAATTTACACTTTAGGAGACTGTTGTCATATAATAATATCTATACTTTTCCAATACAGATGTGATTCTTAAATAAGTAGATATACCTTGGACCCTTACCAATAAATTTTTTCTTTGTTAGAATACATTAGTATATGCATTCATTATAATCGACACTTTATAATGTATTTTACACTCCTTCATGGACTGTACGAGATTTTTGTCTCATTTATATTATAATTATATTAATATATACAATTTTTGGAATTATTCAGAAACTAAGGCCTTTTTATAATAATCAAAAAAGATTTATAACACGAACTAATTATAATATAAATTTAAAATGAGAAAATTATTTTGATTTTTATAATTAAATATATATATATATATATAATTCAATCAATCTCAATATTATCATCGAAAAGTTCAACCATTAATTCTTAAAAATAGAGTAAATCTTCTGGGATTAAATCAGATGCTATTTTATTCAAATAAAATGCTTTGGTATCTGCATCTAAGATCCTATACGAAATCCAATAGCTTTCTTTTAATTCCTTATTATTTAAAGCCTAAATTAGTAATTTCTTAATTTTTACTTAATCAAGCTTTTAAATTATACTTTGATAATAGTCTCCCTCATTAGGTTCACTTAAATTTATCCTACTTATTAATAAGGATTATATGTTTTTCCAATTGTCTTTAAGATCATTCACATTTTTTATTGGATCATTAGAATCAACATTTTTTGAAAATTTCTATTAAATGTTAAAATTCAATTTATACTGAAAATTTCTCTTCAGAAAAAATATTATTTTCTAAAGAGAAAGTAACAAAACGATCTAAAGACATAGCTTTTTCACCACTTTCATTTGAAATAGTATCACATCTTTCCATAAATTGAGTTCTGATATACTTTTTATTAGATGTAGTTCCTTAATTAATTTCAAAATGTAAATATAATTTTTGAAATTCCTAAAACTCAATCATTCCATCCATATCCATATCAGCTGAATAAAATACTTCTTCAAAATGTGCTTAATGTATTGATTTATGTTGATGATAGCCATTCAACAATTTACTTATAAAGAAATCTACATCCACACAAACTTTATTTTTCCTTTCATAAGTATTTTAACGAATTTCCTTTATAATTTTATCCCTAATATCTGCTCCCAAACATGAATGCTAAATATCTAATGATGCTAAGGCCTTATCCAATTAAACTAAAACTCCCTTTTCATTAACAATTGATGCCATATGAAGAGCTATTTCATTTTCATCTAAAATTTTCAAAGATTGAATATAAATATCTAAATCATCCAAAGTGAGGGGACTTAATAATTCCAGAAATCTTAAGATTAATTATATATATTTACCTTCCAAATAGATTGATTCTGAAATTCTCTCTATAAAAATATACAGATTAATAGAAATTGGTTAATTTTTATTCAGCCATGCTTTTGAATCCATAAGTATTAACAAAATGTTCATAACATATCTAATGTAGAGGAGTATTCTTATTAGAATATTACTTAATCTTATCACAATAAAATTATGATATGAATTTTAAAACATTAATTCTTTACATTTTTGGAGTGGCTAACTTTGGATTTTTAGCAAAACGTTCAGCTAAAAATGTAACCAAATATTTAGATCTTTAGTAATTCAATTAAGTTGTAGATTCAGCATTATTTCTATTTTAAAATTCTTAAAATTTATAAAAAATTAAATTACTTGGAGCTTGTGTTTATGTGATATTTCTTTTCTTTTGTTATCTATCTGATTTTTTTTTAGAAAAAGCTTCCAATTTTGATGAAAATGATGAATCAATACTAGAAGCTTCACTATTATCAAGTTCCTCATTCAAAAACTTTCTTAGAGTATCTGAAATCATTTTTACATTTTCATTGTTTAAAGTATTAGAAGTACTAATTGGAGTACTTTTTTTTGCAGATTTGAGACTTGATCTATTGTTTCCATTACTTGGAATTAATTACTACATTAAGTATAATTAAAAATTACATGATTTCCAGGTGATTTAGCTTAACCTTAAATTTGAGATGATCTTCTATTAGATGCAAAACTACGTTATGATATAACATCCTATTATAAACAACATTTAATACATCTTAAACCATTGAAATACTTTATTAAAATGAAATCTGTGATTATGATATGTCACTCTCATTATCAGATTCCTTTTGTTATTCATCAGTATTTGTAATTTAAATGTTCCATTTCTTTTTAGGTACATTAATTTCCTAAAGTAAATTTTCCTATTATATATTTCTATTAGTTGAACTTTCTGGTTTGGATTATTTTCTATTAGATTATACACTTAACTATTATCTTCCTGGAGATTAAGCAACAAAGTTATTTTATGGATTACTTGATAATAAAAACTATTATTAAAAATTCTATGATATTTCTATGGATGAAGGTAATTAACTTTATGATTGAGTGGCAGGTTATTTTTTTTAGGAGAAAACACTTGATCTTTTTTCTTGTATTTTTTTTTTAATTATATTTGTAAATTTCTGTGTTTTTGTTAATTAATTTATTAAATTAGTTGTCTTTTCAATTAATTATTATTTCTTATCTTTTATTTTATTGTATTTTCTTTCTAATTTAGAATTTATCTATAATATTTAATAATATTTACTTTTTCCTGTAATTCTAAATGAGCTTCCAATTCTATAATTTCATTTTTTGCAGATTCTAAATTCTATTATAAATTATCATTAGTATTTTTCTAAATTAATTATAATTTTTTACTAATAATTATAATTCATTTGCATTTCTATGATTTTCATCTTTTTATGCACTATTAATTAATAATAAACTTGTTCTATATTCTCTTTATTATTAAACTGTTTATTTTATTTTAGATGATATATCACCTAGACTGATAATAAAAGATGACATTTATTTTAAATCAGGACTATCTAATTGATCACCTTCTATAAATTATTTATAATTTTCAGAAGCTTTAAAAAATTGTTCTTAAAATTGTATTAATTAATCTTCTTCATTTTTGATCTCTTCTAGTATTTCATTTGGTAATTCAGTTTATGTTTCCTTATCGATTGCATTACCCATACTAAAATCAGTTTGAACAATATTATGTCTATAATCTGGTAAGAGGATAGATCTAAAATTAATAAAATATAATAACTTATATTCAGGAACATTATTAAATACAATAGTTTGAATAGATTATTCTCTTTATAAGTTCATGATAGTAATTAGATCATTAGTATCAGTAGTTTAATTTTTAAGCATATCTTCAAAATTTGATAAAGTGGTATCTGAGTCATTTTTTAATACATCTATAATTTATTCTTCACTATAGAATGCTTAATGCATGTTAGGTTGAATCACTTTTATAGGTTATGGTAATTGAAGGGGAGAATGATCACTATTTTATGGAGATTATGATCTGTAATTGGCTTGAAATCTTTATTAAAAATCATGGAAATCTGTTTCATTTTCTTAGATTTATTATTTAAGATTTTCAATTTCATTTAATAAATATTTATTTGAAGTAGTGTAATCATTTAATTAGAATTTAAGTTCTCTAACTGTATTTTATAAATTTCTATTAGTTTTTTTGAGATATTTTCCATTATCTTTTAATTTAATTAATTTATCTGTAAGCTTGGATTATTCTTCTTTTTAATTTTAAATAATTAATTAAAAATTATCAATTTCTTATTAATATAATTAATGTGTTTTCATTATTTATTTGAGATTTTATTTTTCATTTTCTTTTTTTTCATTAACAACTTAATTAATAACAGTAGAATTAATTTCTACATATTAAGTCCAAATCTTTTCAAGTAGAACACTAAATATATTTGTAAATTTACATCACCTCCTTTCAATACAATCAATACTGATTTATCTTATTAGTTCTTTTAAACATAAAGTTAGTACATTTTAAACTTCTTCATAAAAATCAAATTATTTTTAATCACTATATTTATCTACAATCTATTATACCATAAGATCAACCCAAATAGCAAGTGATTTAATATCATGTCTACATAAATAATTTAGGTTACTTTTGAGGAATACCTCTATGAAGTTTGTCTCTTGGGTTATGTTTAGACAAATTATTACAGAAATTGCCTAATTATAATGGGGGTTCTTTTAATTCATTTGGTATATGCACCTCAACAGTAGCTTGGATATAAATGGTAAAATATTACGCTCTCTTAGTGTTTTAGGTGAGAGATACAGATCTGTTAAACGTGTAGGATATTGATATGGATCTACACTTTTTAATTATCCATAGAAATCATTTCTAGGTTAACATTTCATTTTATCTATAATTTCTAATTAATTTTGTGCTAATAATGGAGATCCATAAAATGTCTATATATTTATGAATAAAATACTCCTTAAGATAATGCTTTATGTTTTTGGGAATATCTATAGGAGATATTTGAGTACTGTTATGAACTCTTTAAATTTGGAAGTGAATCTCTCTGTATTCTGGTAAGTCTTTCATTGGAAGAATCAGATCTTTAAGTTGGCCATCCTTATTAGTTAGGATGAGTAGGTTAAGTAGTTTTAAGTATGCGAAATTTGTTCTATTCGCTCATATTGATTTTTGGATAAATTAAAAATATAAATTATCATTACACTAGAATTGATGACTTCTTTTTAAGAACATTAATTTTCTTCCAAGTAATTAGTACACAAACGAATGCTAGCATACCTGAAGAATAGAGATATATAGTGAAATTAATAGATGTTTCTTATCTATTTAATTCAATCATATATGATGTATTAAGCATATTAGTTTAATGCTTTACTAAATCAATATCTCTTCTAAATTTTTCAGCTCTATAAGAAAGTTATTCATTAAGTATTATTAATTATTGCAATTCTTCATATTTTATTTTTTCAATATTTTCTGAATGATGATCATCATGATAATTAATATGTTCTTGTGAATCCTAATGATTATTAGAATTATCAATATCATCAATCTCTACATCAGTAACCCATTATACATTTTCATTGATTTTTGGTTAATCAACTTGAATATAGATTTCAAATTCTTCTTCAGAATGTTCATGATCTCCTATTAACCATTATGTAATGGAATCTGAATTCCATTGTCCATCAAAATAAATTAATGCTTTTTCATTTTTATTAACAAATAGTAATTATGGAGTCTATTCTATACCCAATTCATTGCATAAATCATTAGCTTATCTACAATCTACAACTCCCATAATAATTAAATCAGCATGTTATTAATATAATTGATTCCATAAAGCAACCATCTAATCATCATTAATAATCAAGAGTAATAACTATTTTTTAATAAATTTATCATACATCTTAATCACTATTGAGAAGATTTTCAAACTCTGATTTACTTACTCTATCACCAGAAAATGAAGCATATGATATTGTCAATAATATGTAAAATATTATCATAATAAAAACAATTATTATTAATCAGAATAACATTAATAAATCTCTTTCTATTATTCTTGTATCAATTTACAAATTTCATAATAATCTTACATAATCCATTTGAAATCCTTCATCTTTCTATTGAATAATTATTCAGTCAATTCAGCAACTGTTCTCTGATAATTTCGTCTTTTCTTAAAGAATTTCTTTAAATTAGATAAACATTATTTGGCTCTTCCATTTGAAAATGGATTAATAGGATATTTAGTTAAATAATAAAATTATTCACCTATTGCTTAAGTTAAAATAAGCATTTCATGTGATGTTTTTAATCTAGCAAGTAAAACATAAGCGTTAAATTGATTTGATTACATATAGAAACGTCTTGCTATAGCTGCAATCAACAATGATGTAGTAGCAAAACCAGAGTATTATGTGAATGATAAAACAATTTTCCCATAAACAGTATATGGTTCATACTCTTCATAAGAATATCTTATTAATGCTAACATTGTTTCATAAAAAGAATGTTTTAACAAATACATTGTATCTGAATTATCTTCTCTCATATATGGACGTTCAACTATCCATAATGCCAATGTAAGATAACAAGCTTGAATAATAAAAATAGTTGAAATCACAAGTACTGGTTTCTCATTTGCTAATGATTTAAAAGTGAAACTCCATTTAACTCTGAAACCAAAATATAATGATAATCTATACACTTAACTATTATATAAATGACTTAATCTCAAGAGAATAAACATTAATGTTATAGCTCTCAAACATGTCCATAAAAATAGCAAATCATTCATTGTAAAATAGAATACGCCATCAATTCTATATATTGTGAATTCAAACTGAATATCTAATTTAATACTTAATTTACTTTTTGAAAATACATTAGGTATTGGTAAATATATCAACAATTCTAATAAAAAAGGATTAAAGAAATCGCTTTTATGAAAACTTAGACTCAATGGAATCAATTAAGTGGCCTTTAAATAATCAAATTTGATTTTGTATGTCATATAAGTCAATAGTAACAAAATACAATTCAATGTGAAAACTAACCATAAAAACGTATCATCTTCCCAATCAGATATGAAATATTAATCATCAAACTATATAATAATTCTCATACATCTATAATCAGTATTACTGTTATCACTAATATTAATTGTAACCTAACATGTTCAATCAAACGATGAGTCTCAAATAATAGTTTTGTGACTCTAGCATCTTCAAATCCATTATGATCCTCCTTCTTTAAACTAGTATAATGTCCTTCTTCTGATTCAGATGAGAAGCTTCTTTCATACCCAAGTCCATGAATCCCTTCTGATATTTGATTCGTTAGATGTAATGGAATTGCATTGCTTTCATGAAATCGTTTTTAATTCATTTATAATTCATGTATAAATATATATATAAATGTAGTCAAACATGATATCTCAATTACAAATAAATCAAATCCATCTTCTTAAACATTTAAAATAAATGCTTCATCCTTAATCAAAATTTTAACGTTTTGTTTCTAACTTAAACTTATTCGTAATTCACTTAAACATGAGGTGATTTATTATTAACTTTTAAATTCCTTTAAAAAGAGTTTATAATTAATGTGTCTTCTTTTAAATTTAATCCACTTTATCATAATTCATATATGTAATCATATTTATTTTTAATATTTTCTATAAATATCTAAATCATTTCTTTATTATTCATAACTGCTCAAAATTAAAAACAATTCTTAAAAGATAATCATATTGAAAAACTTAGAAGTCAAAAACACACAAAATATTCTATATCAATATAATGTAAAAACCTTAAATTGAATTTATATTTAATCCCTCTCTATTATATTCAAATATAAAACAAAGAGAAATCAATCATAGTAAATCCATAATGTATCTATTTTGGAAATAGTAGTAGAATAGAGTCAACTAAAAATAGAATATATGTATCATTCAAATAATATATTAAAAGTAATTAAATAAGAAGTATAAATTAAATATATATATTAATAATAATAATAATTATTAGTATTTCTATTTTTTTATCTTATAATATTGAAACAATATTATTATTTATAATTATCCATGAAAAAAGTTACTTAGTCTACAGCATCAACTTTTCAACCTAAACGTAGTCTTGCAAAAGCAAAAAGTCAAAATTAATTTGAAGAAACAGATCCTGCTTAAAGAGGTTACAAATTTATAATATGAAGATAGGAAAATAATAAGAATGAGAAATGTTGTTGATTTAGGAGATGTTTAAGAGGATAATAAAAAAAATTAAAAGAAGAATGGTAATTCTCAAAATACTAATAATTAGAGGATCAAATTGACCCTTTACTTGAACAACTTGATTAATGGCATGAAAATATTATGTCAAAGAAAAAGACTTTTGCATTTGAATAAGTTAAATAAAATGAGAACAATAATAAATTGATTGAAAATGAATTTACATTAGATTATGGACCTTAGATAAATTCTAACATTATTAATCAAATAATGAAACCAACAGAATTACCTCATTTTAAAACTGAAGAAAATAATGATGATGTATAAGTCTAATTCCAAATGCTTAGACCAAATAAAGAATCTGGAAATGTTTTAAAGACATTAGATCAAGTAAGAATAGAAATGAATAAATAAATCTTAAATAGTCTTCTTCTATAAAAAGTGACTAAAAAACTTGATGAAATGAATATTAATAGAAAACATAAGACTAATTGGAATATATAACGTATGGATGATGAAATAACTTAAGTATTTAGAGATTAATCACATGTCTTGAAACAAAGAACATTAAATAATTTTAAAGGATTAACAGAATATTTTAGTAATCCTGCATAATACATAGATTATGATGTGGTCTTATCAAAAGCTAAATATCATTCTAATCGTCCACCAACATCATTTCCAACAACTTAAATTCCATAATAACAATAAAATTCAACATCTGCAAAGTCTTTGATGGAGAGTTATCAATTATTTCAAACATAAATAAAAGAGCATAAAAATATATTATTTTAAATGAGAATTGATAATAATAATTTAGTTTAAGAATTGAATCGTTATGAGGAAGAAGTATAAGATATAAGAAGAAAGTTTTTTATTAAAGAAGAAAAGGCAAGATAGGGATCAATTCCTGAATAATAAAATGATGTTGTTCCAAATAAAAAAAGAAATCTAATGGATATAATTGAAAAAATAAGAAATCAAAGAGATCTAGAGATTAAATAAAGAACAAAGGAAATATAATCATTAAGAAAATAAATGTAATAAAATAATGAGAAATAATAATAAATATAAAAAGAACTTGATGAAATGAGATAAAAGAAAAGAAGATGTAAAATGTTACTTAAAGATATCTTTTTAAAACAATTATAAGATTCAAATAATTCTCTTGTTCCTGAAGGTTTAGTTAGTATTATTAAGAATATGAGAAAGATTAATGAAAGTGCTAAACCAGAATATTTCCCTAAATTTTTAGATGAAATTTCTAAGAATTATTTATTATTAGCAGCTCATTTAGAAATTGAAATAGAAGAAACTAGAATATTGTCTCAAAAATATAATTAATAATAATTATTATAACGTACAACTAGTGCTAGATAACATATATCTACTTAAAGATAATAGATGAATGTATCTGAAATTAAAAATTAAGTGAAAAATATGTTAAAAAAAAGTAAAGTATCTATTAAGAAACCTGTATTTGTTTAAGGCATTGATCCAATTAATCCAACATAAAATGCTCATATAATTAAATGGGAACATTAAGATTTAGAACATTAATAATTAATTGAACCTATTGAAAATAATTTTAAAAATTAAAATATATCTTCTGAACGAAACAATATTATTAAAGATTACAATTAAAAATTAGTTTAATTATAATAATAATTAGAATTTGCTACAAATGAAGAATGTTAACGTATTTTAAAATCTTATTCTAATAAAAAATTATTATCTGATATTTAAGAATTGAAAATGGTTATGTATGCATTATTTGGTTAAACATTTGGAGATTAATAGTGGATCCAATTTGTTGTAGATTGGACAGAATAAAAATAATTAAATCCCTTATTTGTATTAAAATAAGATGAACAATCTAAATAAAGTGATACACGTAAAGATTAACATTCAATATCAGATAAAATGAAAACTAAAGTAAATCAAACATTGAAAAAATTAACAGAAGTTACTAATGTTGATTATAATTTTGAATTAATATATTGATATATATTTCTATATTTATATATGTCATTTAAAAATATATTAATCACAAATATAATAATTAATATAATTTTAAGATTGAAAAATAGTACTTTTAAATAATATATTATATTAAATTCTTCGTCATTTTTTAGGAAATTAATATCTTTTATGATTTAATTTTCTAGTTTCATATTTAAATTATAAATATTCAATTACTATATTTAAAAAAAAAAATAAATATGAATGTCTTTGATGTTATTCTAAAATTTATCTTAGAACATGAAGGAGGGAAATGTAATAGAGTACATGATTCAGGAGGTAAGACAAATCGAGGTATAACTTAATCAACTTATGATTATGAATGTGGATAAATGATGTAAGATAAAAAGGTGAAACCAGAAGATAGGCTTTAAAATAAAGATGTTTATGATCTCACAGACTAAGATGTCTATAAATTTTATAAGTATTAATTTAATAAGTATTCTGCTAATTTAATTAAAAACCCAGAAACTTGTTATGTGTTCTTTGATGCTGTAATAAATCATGGCTAAGGTACAGCAAATAAATGTCTTTAATATGCATGTAATATAAAAGAAGATGGAATTTTTGGACCAAATACAGAAGCTATGGCTAATTCTCTTAATTAAAAAGAAATACAAAAAAAAATGCTCATTTATAGAGAAAATCAATATAAAAAAAGTAAAAATTATGAGTATAATAAAAATGGATGGAATAATAGATTAAACAAAATTCGACAATAAATAGAGAAGGGAATTATGCCAAATTTGTAATAGAATTATAATAATTATTAATTTGTTCAATAATAATAAGTTGTAAATAAACCTAAATAAGATCAAGTTAAGTATCTTCATGAAGCTATAAAAATGTAACAGATACCAGATTTAACTTAATTTGAAATACCAATATAGATTAACTTTAATTAATAAGTACCAGATGCGTTTCCATTATTTCATAAATATAATCTCTAAAGAAAGAAATGAATATATGAAAAATTATTATCAATATAGAAGTATTCATTATTATTTTTTATTTTTTATAAGATAATACTTAATATTTATGATAGAATTAACTTGTTTTTCAGTTAATTATTTATTATATCAAGAGCGAATATAAGATAAATATTAATGATATCAATTAAATAATATCTTATTAAATTTGATAATGACATAATATAGCAATAATTTGAAGGTATTTGAAGGTGTATACTTAAATTTAGATTAATAAATAATTGCCTTTATTTATTGATGTTTTTAGAATTCATTGTATTTAGTTTCAAATTGCTTTCCCATAGATTCATTAGTAAATAAAAGGTAACTATTTTCAGCAAGAGCTATAGGCAATAGAACTTATCAAAAAAATGATATAAATAAATATTTTTATTTTATTTTAGATAGATTTATATAATTAGTAATTTTAGAGAAAACAAATGGTATTGTAATAATGCAATGTTGTAATAATTCATTTATTATTTTTTTTTTCTCTAAATTATACTCTTAATGAATATATTTTTTTATCTTTATCCCAAACAGGTTGAAATTTGCCATCCTAATATAAATTAAATTAAATTTACTTATGTTTCTATCTCTTGATTTGGTATTTTAAAACTTATATTTTCATAGGGTTCACCAGCGAAAATCAAATATTAATAATTCTTATCTGGCTACTCAATCTTTTACTCAAAGGCTGACATAACTCTATGTTTAGGTATGAATCCTGGTTGAATGTCTTCATAATAAAGCTCAAAATATAGAACTTTAGAAGTGTTTTCAACAGTCCTTGTAACCTTATATCCTGGACGTCCAATCTTAATAGTTTTATGTTTTTAAGGTTTTGGTTGATTTTGTTTAGCCATATGCATCATTGCATTCAAATCCTTTCCTTCTCTAGCTTTTCTACGTAAGAGATTTTATTGATGTTTCTTTCCTTAGGTATGTGCTAAATATGATCCCTCATTAGTATGAAGAGTTAAACATAATCTATTTGGATTATATTTATATATATATACTTGCATTCATAAGTACCAAGATGATTGATCATAAAGTAAGGGTCTTTTTAAAGGTCAATGATTTCCATGGCTAACTATTTCAAACGTTCTCTTCTTTCTACATTAGCATCTGCTGCTGATGCCATAGGACCCGAACCGGTCCTACCTCCTGGTCGATTTTACATGTCCATTAATTTAATTAATGCTATCAAATACTCACTTAAGCAACTATATAAGGTTTTTCTAGATTAAATCAGATATGGAATAAGAATGTCTGATTACATAGAAAGAGAAGCACCAATTAAAAGTGAATCTAACCTTAAAAGACATGTAATTAGTTAACATGATTGCACTAAATACAGGTAGTGAAGGATTACAATTATTCATAAGATGCCGATGAAGAAGAGTTCAAATACAGTATAATCAACTATTTGAGAAAAAAAATTAATCTTCTCGTTAAAGGTAGGGATAGAAATAAGATGTAAGTCAACTGGGATAGAAATGAGTCCAATACGTTTGATAAGACGAAATTCTGTTAGTAAAGAATTGAAAGTAACAGAAGAACAATTGATCCAAAAAATTGATGATTTAAATGACTCACTTGTTATGATTCTATAGAATGAGAACAAATGTGTATTTTTAGTCCTTTTAATGGTTTTGTCTAGATTCTTACACCAATTGTAACTGAGAAATTGAAGAGTATCCCTGAATTAATACAAAAGACAACAATTTCATCACCATCTACAACAACTACTAAAATATTTTAAGCTGAAGAAACAGAAAATTGTAAAATAGTAGATAAATTTACATAACTTTATTCAGATATGAAAGTATAAATTATTATTATTGAAAATAGAAACATTACACAGATTATCTAAATTGTCATCTTTTATTAATGAATAATAATTTATCCTATGACACTTTAGTGTAAAGTGTAAGATTATTTGTTAAAAGATTAATTGATGCAGATTAAATAACTTATTTACAGATTAGAGATGATTAATCATAATAAACCTATTATTCTGTTGAAGATTAATATATTATTACAAATGATAAGTAAATTTATAATGAAACTTAACTCATACAACCTAATAAAGTTTTACTTTTAGATGAGTGTAATTTCTATCCTGCCTTGAGTCAATAATTCAAAATTAAATTGTATAAAAAGAATTATTTGATCAAATTAAATAATTAAGATATTTTTGTTTGTTTTCATATTAATGATTAAACTTCAATTATTAATGAATTTCTTGCATTAGCTGATGAATTTGATATATTTGATGATCTTAATTAATTATGCATATTTTTGATTGAAACTATTAAATAAGATAAAATCCAAATATTTACTCCACTTTAATTCTCACATATGATTTAAGGTATTAGTATTGCCTTTATTAGAAGTTCAAAATATTTATTCATAAAATAATCTATACATATATTGTAATCAAAATATTAAGTTGATATGTAATGAATAAACTATTATATATTTAGTCATATCAATTCTGGTGATGGTATGTCTGTTATTAGTAGTCCTAGTTACTTTTATGGAATTTAGAAATAAGTAGATTTTGTTTTTAAAGATGAACTTAATATATCTATTACAATTAATTGTATGGATCTAAATAAGAAATCTGATCTTATGATTTACAAATAATTAACATAAAGTTTTAATAAGTATCTCAAATTCATTAGACAATGTTATGATAGAACTACCTTCTATAAGTTCTTTGTTAAATCATAAAACACTCTTATTTTTGAATTTGATAAATTAGGCAGATTAATATTCTTATCTAAACCTATTCCTTAAGAAATTAAGAGAGAATTCAATATTAATTTTGATCCAACATAAAAAAAAATGACCTATTCTTAATTATTTTAAAATGAAGAATTGCTCAAATATATTGAAAATTTCCTTTAAGAATAAAATATACTTAGAGATAGTGATCAATAATATTAGGTGTTTATGAAAATGGAGGAACGTAGTTTCAAGGGATTTTTATTATTTTTTAATAAGGTTGGTTTAAATATGATTAAAAGAATTTTGATTTAAGTGATCCATCATTATAGAAAGAATTGCAAAAATAAATTATTTAATAAGAAACTATTAAATTTATTGATAATTTAGAATAAAATAATTCATAGATTTTGAATTCTGTGTTGTTTAGATGTTTAAACCAAGATCTACTTAAAGATAAACTATAAATTATAGAAATTCCATATTATAATTTGAACCTGCAAAACTTGGAGTTTAACATAAATCTTCATTAAGATTAGAAGATTTAGATATATAATGTTTAGTTCCTAATATTGATAATTTTCATTTCAATATTTTGGTTGTTGATGATATGATGTAAAAATAATTAGTAGTAGTAGTTGAAATATTGAAATATCATAACTTAATTAAAGAATATGATATTCCCTTAGATACTCTTTGTTAATTCCTTAGTGAAGTAGAATATAAGTATAATAAGAAAAATAATGTATTTCATAATTATGATCATGGTATTTCTGTTATGTAGAATGTTCATGCTATTCTATTATAATTACATTAAACTAATAATTCTTCTATTTTATCATTATTCAATTAAATTGCTTTATTATTATCTGGATTATGTCATGATGTTTCTCATACAGGAAGAACAAATACCTTTGAAATAAATAGTTTATCAAATTTAGCTATAAGATATCATGATAGGAGTGTTTTAGAATAATATCATGCAGCTAAATCACTGAAATTACTTTGTGTTCCTAATACTAATATATTATAAAGTTTAAAAAGTGAAGAATTTAGAAAATTCAGGAGAATATTCATTTCCAATATTTTATATACAGATATTACTGAACATTTTAATTTAATTAAGAATTTCGAGACTAAAATATTAGAATAGAATTTTGGATCATAAGATGAAGATATCAAATTATTAAGTGGCATGATTATTCATACATCAGATTTCACAGGAGGAGCAAAATAATTTGAGTTGTCCAAACAATGGTCATTTAAAGTAAATAAAAAATTTGAATAACAGTATGAATTAGAAGGTAAATTAGGATATCCACAATTACCATATATGAAAGATTTAAATAATGTATTATTAATATTTAATTAGTTATCTGTGATGGCAAAATAAGAGGCTGGGTTTTTCAAGTTTATTGTTAGACCATTGTGGCAATCAATGTCTAAATATTTAGATAATAGATTATAAAAATAGGTTGAATATCTTGATGAAAAAATCTAAAAGTGGGAAGAAATTGCTAATTCTGAATGATAAATAAAATTATATTATAGACAAACAATAACTATTAATTTGTATAAGAATTCTTTAAAATTATTTATAATACTAACTGTATTATTAATTAATTATTACATTTACAAAAATTAGTCTAAAATATCTTTATTATTTAAAAGATATTGAGAACTAATTTGCTGTTATTTTCAGTTAAAAGTAACTTAATTAAATATCTTAAAAGATGATGAACTGTAAAATGAAAATAAAGAAAAAAATAATCTATAAATTTTAGTATAAAAAATATTTCTTAGCAGAAATTCAAATTCATAACTATTTGAATTAATTCATATTGATTATATTTAATTAGATTATTAGTAATATGATTGACAGATATGATTATAAGCATAATGTTGTAAGAGAAGTATATAATTTGTATTAAAAAATATAGCAAATAGTAGATTCAATATGATTAAATAGAATTCATAAGTGAGAAACCCATGTTATTGAGATAAATAAAATGAAATTATTTTTTATGTCAGACTTTTTTATAATGTAATGTAATTATATTGAATATCTTGATATATTACAAATTAAATCATCTATTTTTTCTATTCTTCAGAGCACTATGTAGGAAGATTACAATTAAATAGATTCGATTATTTTACTTAAATTTTAAAGTAAGTAATATTCGAATCTAAAACTATTTTTGAATGGGTTCAATATTTATGGTTAAGGAGGAAAATCTCAAAAAAACTTCGAATATTGATTCTATTTATGGTATTTATTGATATCCTCTCTTCTCTATGATTATGGTTAATTCCAATTCCTCAAATCCTGATTTATATGATGTATCCACTTTTTTGAATCATTAAAGCTAATAATAAAAAGAGATTTAAAGAATTTTAATAGTAATAATAAGAGATGACCCATCCTAAATGAAATATTTTATCAGATTGAAACATAAATACATGGATTTACCAATAATCAAATTGATTCCATAAACCAGATAGTTATATTAAAAGTATAAAAAGAAAATCAAAAGATCCCATTAATTATTGATGGATCAAATTGTTAATTAGATAATATTACAATTTTTTCTTATGGATTTAAAATTACAATTATCTTTTAGATATCAAAAAAAAGACTATTGTTGAGAATGATTATGTGAAATTGAATTGAATTGAGAAGTTTTGGAAAATAAATATGTAAGAATTTAATAAAATTGAATTGATCTAATATTTTTGGATAAAATTACTAATAATATCTGAATGAAAGATTGTAGTTAAAGATATTGGTCATAATAAGTACTATTAATTGAATACAATAATGTTGATATGGATGAAAATAATAAAATTACTATTATTAATATAGAGTTTGTGATACTTAAATCAAATTTTCAGATAGTAAAATTTAATGGTATTATGTATGAATTAGATCTTGTAGTATGTAATGATTTATTGTAATTTACGAAAACACAAAAAAGGATATTTTGTAGTATTTTTTACTTTATTACATTAACAATCAAATTAGACTCACCATAATTTGATTGTTAATGTAATAAGATGTATTTATCAGATATAGCATTATTGTTATCATATGGGAATGGTAGTGTTATATATATTATAATATTGATATAAAATATATATATAATGTAATACATACAACTGAATATCTCATCCTAAACATGGATGATAATTTAGATCAAGAATTAATAAATTATGATTGTTATATGAATATATGTATATATTGATGCAATCATTTATAAGCGTCTTGGACTTTCCTGAAGGAATCGATTAAATGATTTGTGCATTTTTCTATCAATAGTATAGAACACTTACCTAGACATTAATGATTTTCTTTTGTCAAAACATCATCTTTGGATTACAATACTCCACATCTAACTTGACAGATACTTGTAAATCTCAAAAATAGACCTAATGTTTCTCTTTATTAAATATTGTCCATAATAATATAAATTCACACTTTAGAATCAAGTAAAATTAAAACAAATAAGAGCTAAGTTTCTTATAATAAATTAAATGCTTAGTTAAACAAAAATCTCCAATTATTTACCATCAACAAAGGCAATAATATCAAATGTGTGGCTGAACATGAGAGAAGAAGAAATAACTGGAGTATAAATTATATATTGATCAATTATAAGTTAGTATGGATATCTATAGCAACACTATTATATTTGATATGTTCTTAGATTCCTTTATATGCAATATACAAAACATTTACTAAGATTCATTCTATTGGTTAAGAGTGATATTGCATTCAAATAAAAGAACATTTATGAAATTGGGTATTTCTCAAATGATTATAAAATTAATGATATTGTAACTAATTGACGGAGAAAGATGATCAATATAGATTTAAATGTAAAAGAGGATAAACTACTCTATTTTGGAGTGCAGAAATTTTTAGGAATTTTGATAGTATTTATTGAAGTATTTGTATATGTATTGTCTGGTATTTATATAAATTTGAAGCAGGTAATGTTACTATGATAGTAATTTGATTTGTTTTCTAAACACTAGTGATAATTATTTTTAAAGGGAATAAGTTATTTTGGAACTTTCATATTAATTGCGATTGATATTTATGAAGACATTATGTTTTTAATTTGTTGGCTACCTTCTTGGGTTTATGATAGCAATCTATTTATAAGATTAAAAAATTTATATAACAATAAATACAAAAATTTCTAGCAGGCTTAACTGCATTTCCATTTAATTTGTTCTACACTTTTAACATTGAAATTATTCTTCAAAGATTATTAGTTTCAAATATTTATTTCCTTTCACAATTTCTCTACAGAAATTTTAGAGGCTATTTCATTATTAGATTACTGGGCTATTGTTAATAATTAGAAAATGGATAAACTATTCCCATAGATGGATTAATCTACTATAATTCTAGACTTAGATCCATTATAAAAGCTATCTTAGTTCCAATTCATACTATCCCTTATATTGCATTTATTATTGTTACTGGCGCTATTTCTCAAAAATATGTATAGATATGTCTGGTTCTTCACCAAAAGATGTAATAAATCTCTTTAATCATATATAGATTACAATATAACTCACAGAACAAGACATAAAAAATTGTTGGTTACATGAACTTCTTCAAGAAAGATGTCCTAAAAAGATATATTTGAATTGCTGCTTCCTACTTTGGTATTTGCATCAGAACTCTTACCATCTTAGATGATTTCTTAGGTGCTATTGGTTCAAGTATTTATGAATTTTATATATAGTAATTGGAACTGGCATAGTTTTATTTGTTACCAACAATTTATGGTTATTTTCGAAACTCTTAAAAAAGAAAAGAAAGAAGGTACTTTTAAATTGTTTTGATGATGTACAATATATTATGATGAAGTATTATATATATAATCATGATTATAATGGGTTTTAAACCATAATATTGTATAGACGTCTTACTGACACTAACTTATTATTGACCGATGATTATAATATAAAGTGACGGGGATATTGCTTCAAGTTGCTCACTCCCGCAAATCGAACATTATAGACTGCTGATTCTGTCTCACTTTAAGTACTTAAGGCCTTCCTTTTATACTCATTTAAAGTTATTTTTGCCTCATGGTAACCCACTTATAGTTGTTTTGCCGCGTCCTTCAATTAAATTCCCTAATTTGTCAAGTCAATCAACTCTTTTTTTTATTCCAAATTTAAAGGTTTCTTAACTACTGATGGTGATGTTTTCTTTATTTTCTTCATCTCAACTTCCACCTATTTCTTTATTTCTTCGAGTATATTCATCTTAATTTAATTCTGTATTTTTAAACCATGATTTCTCTAATCTATGCTCATACTATCTAATTGAATAGTGCGAATGCGCTTATTTATGATGAAAAAACATTATAAAATGATAAATCCATACTACGTCATATTTAAATATATGAAATTAAATCGAATCATTCATATAATCATAATATGCAGTATTAACTGTTTATCATAACTTTTATTTAATTTACATATGTTATATTTATGTCTTACTGCATCAGAAATTTTTAATTAATTTATTTCCATTTCTCTGCTCTTAAGAACCTTTAAATTGTTATTTTAAGATTTGTCATTTCTAAAAATAGTTTTATTTTATTTTATGATTTTAAGCTATTTTTTCCATTTATTTTTATTTGATATTCAAATAAGGTAGTATTTTCTTATTCTAATTTTAAGATTAATAAGAATATTGATTAATCAAAACTGATTATAAAAAAATTAACTTAAATTTCTAAATATTTCTTTAAATTTATTATACCTTACTTGAATTAATGATCTTTTTAATATTGTATATGATATGTTAATGATTTATTATATTATTTTTATAAATTTTTCATTTGGCATTTTATTAATCAATCCTCAAAATATTATAGATTTACTATGGTTTGAGATGATAAATATAAGTTTTTCTTTATGAAATTGAGATTTTATACAAAATTTTTAAATTATAAATTTTACTGTTAAAAATTTTATTGTTAAATTTAGGATAGTAAGCAAATTGTATAAAAATTATTTTTTTTTGTCTGTCTATCTTAATAATAATTATTTCTAAATCATGAACTATAATTTCTAGCAAACTGCTTAAGAAAAAGGACTTGATATACATTCTTAATGTAACGACAAAGAAGAAGGCACCTCAGAATAATATTCCGATTCTAATTTGTATTCAGAATCACGATACTCATCTGAATAATCAAAAGGAAGGCTGATAAATCATATGGAAATTTTAGAAAAATAATAGACAGAATATATGAAAGATAGTTTGTCTTTGAAGAAACCTACCTAAACTCCTTATTTATACCATTTAAATCAATTTCTTAACAAAAAAAGATATTAGGTTATTGGAACTTTTTTCTAGATAGAGCAATAAAAATACATTATCAAAAACCATCCAAGCTTGATTTTATCTCTACTTTTAAAATTAGATAATTCATATTAAATGAAGTATGAATTAAACTAGTTCTTAGAATAAAAGGATAAAAATTGGCAATAAATTTGTGATTTTAATCAACCTATTAGTGAGAAAACTTGTGAAAAATTATAAGAATAATATCAAAAAATAAAGCAAATGAATTAGACCTTATAAAAACTCAAGGAACAAGAAAAATCAAGAAAATCAACAGAACCAAAAAAACCAAGAAAATCAAAAGACCCAATAGACCAAAAAGAACCAAAAAAATCAAAAGAACCAAAGGATTCAATGAAACTTAAAGCTTATCGAAAGGATTTTATGGATCTTTGTGAAAAAAAGGGTATAGCTACGAAAATATAAAGATTTGAGAGGATTGAAGAAGTTCGAAAAAAATTTGATGATATTGAAAATTAATTCAAGGAAAAGAACATAAAAGATACTCAACTTTTAGAACATCTTGAAGCTTTGAAAGAATTCATTACAATAACATAAAGATTAAAAGCTGAACATCTTAAAAATAATAAAAAATATATAAAGAAATAAATTGATATAACTAAAGAAGATATACTAAAGCTAATGGAAGATCCTCTAATCAAAGAAAAATCATAAGATGTATTAAATATTATAAGCGATGTATTAAATCAGTTAAATATTATTGACAAAAAAATTGATTAAAATTAGAATATAAATAATATTTTTGATTTAGAAGAGTTAAAAAAATTGGATAAAATATAATGGAAAATATTCTAAGAAAAAGCCAAAGCATTATTGAATTCAGAAAATTCAGAGTAGGAATAGATAGAGTAGGAATAGATAGAGTAGGAATAGATAGAGTAAAATTCTTAATTTTGGTATACCATCAAAAAAGTTAAATTATGAATAATGGGATTGATAAATTATCTATTTATATTATCAGGACAATTATAAAATATTCATTTTATACATACTTCATATTATTTTTGATATTTTAAGTATATATTTATTGTTATTTTAATAATGTTATCTTGATAATTAGATAATTTAAACTTGAATCTATCAATTAATTGATGTGATTAGAATTATGTAAATTATTAATAAATTTTATATAATTGTATTAAGAATTATAAAACTAATATGGATGAATTATTAAGTGCTGTAATGTAAAGAAAAACAAAGATAAATGAAGTCTTAGAAACAATTTAAAAACTAAAAGTTAAAAGTATTTATTTGAATAAAATATAATAGATGTGATAAGTCAATCTGAAAGATCAACAATATATGCAATCATAAGAAAACTAAAAGAAGAAGAAAAAAATAGAACGGAAAAAGAGAATTGGATAGTAAGTATAATGAGAAATACTAAATAGTATAATGAAGAGCAGATGAAGTATTAATGTATATCTATAGATAGTCATATATTTGTTAAAACAAATGATATCATGAAATTAATTAATGAATCTTTTATTGAACTTCCCTATTAACCACCTAATAGTCTCATTCAATTTTTAGAATAATACTACAATTTACATCAAGGGTTCTTTTAACAAATGAATTAAGAGTACTAATTAAAAATATAATACAAATAAGCTATCAAATAAGGAAATGTAAATGAATATTAATATCTAAAAATAGATCAATTTAATAACTGATTTAATTAAAGCATTGTTAGCATCATCTAGAAAAATTCTGAAAGATAATATAGATGATTTAGCATATTAAGTAAATAAGGATTTATCACCAGAAAAGCAAAAGATTATGAAAAAATTAATACCAGATCCATTAGTTGAGCATTTAAGAACAAGATCATCAACATAAAATGGAAAAAAAGATGGAACAGTTATTAGTATGACAAATAGTGTAATACAAAATGAAGAGCCTATTAGATATAATGATAAGAAGGAATATTAATAAATCAAAGAAAAATTGAAATAACAATAAAGAAGATTTATTTTATAACCAAAAATTCCAAATTAAGAAATTATGTTATTAGAATCACCAGTCTATTAATTAAAATAAAAATACTAATAATATAATAATATTAATATTGAAAAGAATTAATTTGCTTCTTTATTTAATAATGTTAATCTTGATGATTTAGATGATTAAAATATATGTGTTCTAGATTATCAAACTATTAAAAGATAATAATAAAATTTTGAAGAATTTAAACTTAATTTTGATAGTCTTTATGATAAAATTAAGATGAGAAATTCATATATACAATAATCAGTAATGGATTACAATTAATATATATCAAAAAAGTATTAATTTATATAATATTTATAGATGTATTAATTCAACTATGATGTTAAGTAGTTAATGTAATAATAATTTAGAAAATGAATTTTTTAATGTAATCAAAGATAAATATGAAGAATTAACAAGTTTAAATGCAGAATTTTAATAAAATATGTGTCATTATCATTTTTGTAGAATATATCTAAAACCTCACATAAATCCAATATGTGCTTGTTATAATACTAACACTAGTAAATATGAATTAAATTCAAATCCTATTAAAAATAAAATTATAATTAGAAAATCTGTATAAAGTATTAAAAAATCTACACCTATTTAATAAAATTAAAATACATTTACTTCCAAAAATCTTATTGATTAATTAAAAAAAGAAAGAACCTTCAATTAATCAATTATATTAGAAGATTCAAGTTATCAAGATATATATAAATACAATAATAGTAGTGGAATAAGTCCATTAAATAATTCTATACTATAAATACGGAAATTAGATTAATCATAAAATTTAAATGGAAGTACTTAATATAAATTATATTCTCATAAATTGTCAAGTGATATAACTTCATTTAAATAAACTTCGTTGCATCATAGAGCTTAATCAGCTAATGGAGATTAATTAATTATTCCTCCTCTCAACTTAAGGAATTGTGCTGAGTGATATCAGAAGATAAATAAAATGATACAATTTAAATATTATTTTCAACTCTCATTTATATTCTAAAGTCTTTAGTTTTAATTATTTATAAATTTTTCATATATTCTATAAATTTTTAAATCTAATTAATAATCTCCTAATATTTTATCTATCAAACCTTCATTTATATTTGAATCATTCTTTTAAAGTATATTTAATATTCATACTTATATAATTAATATTATTACTTTATTAATAATTATTAAATTTAATATTATAATGGTTTAATTGATATTTAATCAACTAAATAAATAATAATAAGTTATTCTAATACCTTATAAAATTATAAATTTATTCAATTGATTGCTATTCTGTTAAAATTACATTTAAAATACTCTGAAATCATGAACTTAAATAATAGTATTTTATATTACTATATCTCATTTGTGTAATCAAGATAAACATATCAGGATTTATTGTATCATTTGAATGAATACATTGAAAAAATAAAAAAATTACATTTTAATTTAAAAATATATAATAACTTTATTATTATAAAAATTTATCTCTAATTATAATAATTACTATTTATATTGCGAATTATTGATAATTTTTTTAATTTCTTACACACTAAATACTAGTAAATTTCTTGATTCAAAAGAATTTAGTCAAATAATTTTGTATTTAAAATTAATAGTTATGGAGAATATTCATTAGCAGAAGACTTAAATAGAACCATAAACCAATTAATGTAAAACTATTAATTTTACCTTAAGGCATTTATTAAGTTGACAAAAAATCTCATTCTGGATAAGAATCACAATTCATTTCAAATAAAGATTTCCTCTCAGTCACAATAATTGAAAACAAAGATCCTGTTAAACAAATTCCTATTGGAAAACCAACTTATTTTGAGACTTAAAGCTAGAAAGAACTCAAAAGGTTTGATTATATAACTAATTCTAGTTTAAAACTCTGTTATGGAATTTTTAGTTTATTTATTGTAGGTTTCATTTTAGCAAGAATCTTACCTTAATTTTTATTTGATGGCTGTAGAGTTTCTGCTTGTGTCTGGATAATTAGGTATTTATTTAATAATAAGTATAGTATTACATTATATGTCTCGAATATCATTTATTTCAATTTATTAATCAGTAACAAAATGTTATATACCATAACGGTTTGGATGATCATTAATTGCTTAACATTTTTAGCAGATCTAATAGCAACATTACTTGCTTTTTAGGCTCCTTTATATTATAATGAATGTAAGACTTAAGATTAAATGAGTACTTCAAATGACTGTTAATAAAAGAGAGATTTAAAAAATGCATTGTAAATATATCTATTTAGATATAGTTCAATAATGAATGTATTATTTTTACTAATAATTGGTGTGACTCATGGATGTTATTGTTATAAAGGGTATTAGATTCGAAAATTAATAATATCTTAATAAAGACTAGCAAATAAAGTTCCTGTATCTGAATAAATTGAATTTTGAATAAATTTGTGTTTATAATTTCTATTATTCTGCATCATATTAAATATTTGTAATATATTTGATAATAATAAGATCAATTTTAATTTATAATAGTGAAATTTAAGTTAACTAATTACAATTTTTTAAATATTTTCACTTAAAATATAAAATGGTATATATTTCACTTTAAATTATGTAAAATTATTTCGGTTGTTTTTAAATGGTTTATTAACACTAATACAAGTAATATATTAACTCTTTCAAAATATAATATAAATGATCAACTTGTGATTTTTTAATTTAACCCTAAATTAGCTATATGATATGTTTAATTTTTCAAATCTTTCATTTTTATTTTAACAATATTAAAATTCAGGTTATTTTAGAAATAAATCCTGCCTATATAAAGCAATATGGTATATGAACATTAAAAATTATTTAAATTGTAATTTAACTTCAATGAAAAAAATTATTATAAAGATTTTGATTCCTAAAATAAGCAAAATAAGTATTAAATTACTTTTAATTAGATAAATTTAACCAATTATATTTTTTGTCTAATAAGGTATTTAGAAAATTTTAATTATTAATCAGATTATACTATATTATATTAAATATTGAAATCAAGTACTTTTATTTAGAATATATAAGTTTTAGGGAAATATTTATATACTTTTAATTTTGATGTAATAGCAAATTAATCTAAGAATAATTTAAGTATTAAAATTCTTAAATATAGAATTTAATAATACAATGAGATTAAGAATAATATATATATTAATTTTTATCAGTAAAAATAATAATTTTTTGATTGCAAAAATTACAAATAAATATGGATAAATAGTTGACTCATATATGATAATATTTATAATATAAGATTAATAAATAAATTAATAAAAATAATTGCTTAAATCATACAGATGGATAATATATACAAATTCAAGGCGAGCTCTTCAGTGGGACATTTGAAGAATTTGAATAACGATAAATAGTTTTATTCAGAAGAGGAAACTAGTAAAAAAGAGGAAGAAGAGAAGCAACTTAAAAAAGTGAGCAAACCACCTAGTAAGATGTCTCAATTCAGTAAAAATGCTACAGGGTACTAAACTGATGATTCTGATAAAGAGACGCCTCGAAATAATAAAGCAGGACCTTCAAGTAAAATAATAATGAAAAATGTTAGATCAGAAAGTCTCTAAATTTCGTAATCTTGTAAATGCAAAAAAAATAGAAGGAGACAATGACGATCCAAATTATGATGATGATGATGATAAACCATAAACCATCTAATAGCAAATACAACATGTACAATAATAAAATGATGATTAATATGATATAGAGTAGTAAGCAAAATAGATGCAGTAAAAATATGCAAAAGCAGATAAACCAAAAGAATAAAAAATGAAGTATATATCAAGTTTCATTTAGACACTCTAATACATAATAACCAATGGATATAAATTCTGATGTTGAATAGATGAAAAATAAATAACAATAGGAAGGTAAATTAAAAAATCATCCGTTTCGACATTTGATTTATGGTCCAACTATTGGTGAGAATTCGTTTAATAAATTTTTATAACTCACTTAAAGAGGTTTAGTATATGCTAAAAAATGTCTAAAGGGTCCTTCTGATAAATTTATTAAGTCAAAAATGGTTTAATTGCCAGAATGTGTAATAGTGAAACCAAAGACATTATTGTTAGATTTAGATGAAACCTTGATTCATAGTTGTTCTCTAAGGGAAAATCCATAAATCACAGTAACTGCATTTGGAGATTATGGTGAAGAAGCCAAAGTATTATTGTTATTCAATATATTTAGATCCATTTCAATATTAGACCATTTTGTGCTTGGTTTTTATAATAAATGAGTCAATTGTACACTATTTATGTTTTTACTGCTTCTTCATCTGCTTATGCTAATGCTATAGTGAATTATTTGGATCCAAAAAGATAATGGATTTTAGGAATTCTTTCTCGTGGGAATTGTATGGAAACTAAAAATGGTTTCTTTATTAAGGATTTAAGAATTGTTGGTAATAAATAATTAAAGGATATGGTTATTGTTGACAATTTAGCTCATTCTTTTGGATTCTAAATAGAAAATGGTATTCCCATTTTAGAATGGCATAATGATTAGAATGATTAAGAACTTAAATATTTGGCTACTTATTTAATGGAAGCAGCTGATTAAGAAGACATAAGAGTATTTAATACATAGAGATTAAAATTAGATCAACTTATAGAATATAGTTTAGAATGATCTTATTATCATTAATAAATAAATTCAATATAAATAATAATAAATTATCATAAATGGGGTCATGCTGTTCAACTAATAAGGTTGTAAAGGAAACATATGATTATCCAGATGGAGGAGTCTATTAAGGTGATTTGGAAAATAATGTGCCAGTATCTATTATAATATAGTTGTAAGCATGGAAGAGGTACAATAAAATGGGATAATGGTTCATTATTTGAAGGTGAATTTATAGAAGGACGAAAAAATGGAAGAGGATTATTCAGATGGAATGATGGGTAATACTATGATGGCAATTTCAAAGATGAAAAATTTGATGGTTATGGTGAATATTTTTGGACAGATGGCAAAATATATAAAGGTAATTGGATTGATGGTGAAATGAGTGGATAAGGTTAAATGATATATCCAGATGGCAGAGTGTATTCAGGTTCCAATTTTATTTAATCTTAAGGCAGTTTCAAAGCAGATAAAAAGGATGGTGATGGTGAAATTACTTGGCCAAATGGAAATAAATATATTGGAGGTTGGAAGAAAGGTAAATAACATGGAAAAGGTGTTACGATAGATAAAAAAGGGAATAAATCTGAAGACATTTGGAATAAAGGGAAAAAATAATGAAAATTATATTTAAGCATTGTTAATCTTGTTTTAATTAATATTGTAATCTGTTTATAATTAAAAATCTAAATTTTTATATTTAGTATTATCAATTCTAAATATCTTTCATTTTTAATTCATAATTGCATTTGTAATTCTATTTCTTTTTATTAAATTTGTATTGTAATTTGAAGAGAATATCTATTAAATATTATTTATAGTATGAATATTAAACAAAAAGATTTAAGGTTTTAATTGATTCTAAATAAATTAATAAAATAGTACAGTTGATTAAATTAGAAGAAGTTACAAAAATAAAATATTAATAATTTTATATTTTCTTTCATATTTTAATAATTAATAATTTCTTTGAATGAACTTATGTGCAGCTAACTTTATTTTTATTTAATATTATGAATCATAATAATAGATAATAAATTCAATATCTTTTTAGATTAGAAAATAGAATTAAAATAATAAGTTCCTAATATTTCTTTAAACTAATTATTATATTATATATATATCATTATGAAAAATGTAAAGAATTTAGTCAATTACTAATCCATTTTTTAAGAATTTTATTCTATCAAAATAAAACTAAAAATCTATCATACAATATAATTTAGTAATTGATATGAGATTAATTTTTTGTTATATTTAAAAATAATTGGACAATAAAAAGAAGGACAATTTCAATAGAATTAATAATCCATATATTATTTTGTCTTAAAAATTATCACTTGCTTTCATTTCATGATTACAATAAGTGGGTTTCCATAAGTAAGTAATTTATTTAAAATAGGATGTTAATGAGGAAATTTTGTATGAAACATTTTAAATATATGGCAAAATTATTGAAATAACAATTAATAAAGAATATTATGAATCATAAAGTGCTATAATTGAATTTGCAGACCCCATATCAACTAATTAAATTAAAATTGAACAGAAAGAATTTAAAATAAATAATAATATTCTAAAGGTTTAACTTCTTGATGATTAAAGTTAAGATGAGTTGAAAACAACTTATTTATTTGTAAATAACATTCCATCAGATATCACATAAGAGTAATTGTCTATATTTTTTGAATAATTTGGACCAGTGTTCAATTGTAAAATAAAGAAATAAAATTATTTGAATCATAAACCTTAATTGTAATATAGTATTCTATAATATAGTTCGGGTTTTGTGGAATACAAGAATCCTTAGACAACTATAGATTTGATGGAAATATATTTAAGATAACCATTAAAGGTTAATGGTAAAATTCTAATTATTCAACCTTTTAAAGATAAATCTTAATCAAGAACTTCAATATAAATGATAATTTAAGGTTTTTGTAGAAAATTGAATTAGACAGAATTAAATATTGTTGGAATTTAGAGATTCATTGAATTGACTTGGGAATTATTAATAGTAGATTATTTTAATTAAAGAAAATTGTAATTGAAAAATTGTTATGTGAAAATGAAAAATGATTAACCTTATATAATATTGATGTTACCAACATTAAGTGATACTATAAAATTTATGAAATTAGCAGATTAAATTCAAAGTCATCCTTGTTTTTAATATGATTCTGATTAAATACCAAAATTATATTAAAATTTTTGTATTGATCAATGTTTATCTTAAACATTTTAATAGTTTTAAAAATAAGATAATGTATCAAATGAATAATTTAAATAAAGATAATCTTAAGGATATTTTAATGGTAATTTCTCTTAATTTAGTTGCAGATATCATTTCAATAATTAAGATTATTATGATGATAGAATATTAGTAATATAAAATTTAAAACATTCAGTTACTATTGAATAAATGAAAGAGTTTATTCTTTAATTTGGTTTGATAAAATCATTATTAATTAGTAATGATTTAGATTAAAAACTTAAAGATAAAATACTTAAATAGCAAAATCAAACTGTATGTTTTATATTAGCATTAACCTCTTTTGATGCTTAATTGATATTGTAGGAATATGAAAACAAGACATAGGGATGTTAATTATAGAAATTTAATATTTCAGATTCTCAAATAAAAATACAAAAACTTCACTATAAACATAATAATTATGAAAAGATATTAAGTGAATTGTATGAAGAGATATTTCGTAAAAAAGAACTTTAAACATTAGTGATTAAAAAGAATGAATTGAAAAGCAAAGAATATTTTAAAAGTTTTGATTAAGTAATAGAAGAATAGTAAGATTTTTTATAGTTAAGTATTCTTGACTAAAAGTATATAGTATAGTAATTAATTTATTAAATTGTGGCTAATTAATCTCATTTAAATTTGGTAGATCAAAAAAGAATGTCATGTATATTGATTATTATATATATTAGGTTTAATAATTAATAAACATTAGAAATTGGATGATATATTTGAACTTTATTAAAATTCTACAAAATTTATATTAGAAATAGAAGAAGCTGAGAATATAATAATTTAAGATTTGCATTAAGAAGTCATTTAATAATATTCAACTTTAGATGATATAATGAATAATTTTGAAGCATTTTATTCTTTAAAAGATGATTAAAAGATAAATGTTATTAAGTTTCTTATGAAATAACATATAATAAAAGAATAATAAATGGTTGATAATGAGGCAAGCAAAATTACTAAATAAATAATGAAATAGTTTAATTATAAAATATAAGATTTAATATGTTTATTAGAAGATAATAAAGAATTCTTGAATGTTTTGAATAAGATGAAATGATATTTTAACATATATATTTTAATAATAAATATGAATGCATAAAAATTTTATTATGGAGAAGACATTATTGAAAAAAGCAAAGAATACTAATTTGTTGTTTAAACCAATAATAGTGTAGGATCTTAGAGTGAAAAGAGAACGATTATTAAATAGATAACAAAGAATTCAACCTAACCCAATCTAAGATCTTAAATGAGTGGTTTAAAAAATATTACAGAATACAATTCAGATTAAAATGGAGTAGAGAAGCTTCAGAAAAGAAGAACCTTTCTTTTATAAAAAGAATCCCAATAACAAGACTCTTCAGGAGGTTTATATAGTTCTCAAATCAAAGTTATTAAAGTACCTTTTAAAAAAATACACGCATCTTGTGAAAATATTACAGTAAAAAATCTTAAGACACATTCTCATATGAATAGTTTTGATTAAGATTAATAATTCCTTTAAGCTCTCTTTTCTAAAGATAATAAAAAAGATGATAGGACAGCAAGATCCAAATTGACTAGATCATAACTTTTAGTACATATAGAGACTTTAAATTCTGAAGTGTCTTTAGAAAAAGGTTTGAAATATACAACTTAATCATCTTTTAGAAGAGAAAGCTAAAAGGAATTAAAAGACAAAAAGTATAGTTGCTAAATATACTAGATAAGCAGAATATAAGCAATATAGTTTCAAATTAGTACTGGCATTTGATTATATGATATAAATATATCGAAAAGAAAATAAATTAGAAAATTTATTGAACAATGTTTAATAATTTGTAGGTTTCATGAATTTAACTTATAATTTAACCAATTTACCATTAAATATCAATGTAAAAAGTATCTCTAACTTAGGGATTAGAATAAATGTTTAAAACTCCAAAGTATTTATTAAAGACTCTTAAACCTTTTATACCTTAAAGTTTGGAGAAACTATTATTTGAAGATATTGAATGTCAAAAATTTAGATCTCTTACATTTCCATTTTAATTATTTTATATACTATTTAATTAATCTGAATTAGTAGATTTGGTTACAAATTCATGTATTAAGTTTGTTATTAAATAACCAAAAGAGTGTTAGGAGTTGAATCATTAAATTGAGAAGATACTTTCAAATTAGAATTTTCATTAATAGGATTTCTTTTTAATTCAATAATTATTTGAAAAACATTATAATATAATATATGAATCATTATTAAGTGAAGCTAAATCATATTATAAAATATAGGTTGAATATGAATTTGTAAAATAATTGTATTGTTTTTGTATAAAAGTATAAGAAGCTTTGTCTTAGAAAATATTACATGAAGGAAAGAAGAAATAGATATATGATAAAGGATATGATTTCAAAGCTGCTTTAAAAAATATTAAATGCAAAGATGTAATATATATATTATTTAATATAGATAAATCATGATAATTTATTTATGTAATTCATGCCTTAAAAACATTAGATTAATGTATAATTGGATAATTTTGAATAGAAATTCGGTAGAATTAATACTATTTCAAATATACAAAGAGAACATGCTAAATTGGCTGATATGAAACATAATTAACTTTATGAAAAGATTCTCAGATTATAAAAATAAATGGATTGAACTAATTATACTAACTAACATTTTTATGTAAATTATGTTTCAATTTTTGATTTAATTTTAAATATGTTTACACGTTTGCAAATGATAAATCCTGGATGTGATACTATCTTTAATGATTAAGAAACTAATGAGAATCTGAATTTTTTAACTCAACCAATTAAGAAAATATTCTTGAGTAATGAATTGACAATACCTTAAATTGTTATTAAAAGTAATATCTAGTAAGAACTTATTTGCTTATTCATAGAACTCCATAAACTAAATAAATCTCTCTAAATAATTCAGAATAGAAATCATCTTAGAATTTTCAATCATAATTAACAATTCAAAATGTCACTTAATTATAAATAAACTAATTTAAATCTATCAATATCAATTAACAATAAGGGTATGTATTATTATTCTATACATTTATAACATCATACATTATATTATAATTTAAATTTAAATATCATATATTAAAACATAATTTATTTTATTATTTTATAATAGGAATCAAGAACATAAACCTTGTAATTGTAAGAAAAGTAAATGTTTGAAATTATATTGTGATTGTTTTGCTATTGGAAAATTATGTTCTTCAAAATGCAATTGTTGTGGATGCTTTAATAATACTTCTAATTTACTTGAAAGAAATTCCTTTATTCAAAAGATGATTGAAAGAAATCCATAAGCATTCAATTAAAAAGTATAAGAAGTTGAATCTAAAATGACACATACAAAAGTAAATCTATATTAAAATAGAATTTAGGGATGTAATTGTAGAAAAAGTGGATGCCAAAAAAAATATTGTGAATGTTATTAAATGGGAATAGAATGCTCTGATAATTGTAAATGTGATGGATGTCTAAATTGTAGTTCAAATACATTCACAAAATAATAAGATACATCTTAATACTCATTAAATCGTAAACTTAATTTTTGAATATCATAAATTATATCAAAACAATATATATAAAATAATCATTTAATCTTATGTTTAGATATTGTTCTAATCTTTATTTTATGTTATCTTGTTAATGGAATAATATTGATAACTTAAAATGATCTTGATTAATATAATATTTTATAACTTAATCTAATGATTAATAATAGTAAGTATATAAATAATGTATTACATTTTAATTAGGAGTAGTTTCTTCTATTATTTAAAGTTCATTTTGGTTTTCACTTTAAATAAATAAATTTAATTATATTTTGAGTGATTATTTTATCCAGATAATTTTAATCATTATTATTCTTAAGCATATATCAATAATTATTATAAATTAGGCACTTTATTAAGTATCTATTGAACTTTGTGAGAACTATAATATTTCTTTAAAATCTTTAGAGAATTTTCTAACAATCTGTTTGGATTATCTATAAGATCCTTTTTTAATTGAATCAATATAATTTTATCATAGAAATTTATTTATATAAAATAATAATAATAAAAAAAGAAATGGATGATAAATTCATAAATAATAATATAAAATCACAAAAATAAAATAACACCTTTATTTTGAAATAGAGTCTATTTCTTTTTTAATTGGTTTAAATTGTTGAGTTTACAATTAGATAGATAGATAGTCTTTCCATGTAATTTTTGTATTCTTCTTTCAATCATATCTATTGATTTTTCAGTACAATCATTATTTGATAAATTTAGAGTGTGTATATCACTCCTTTTAAGTAGAAGACTGAGTAACTTATCAAAACCAATATCACTGATTCTATTCTTACCTAATTTAAGAATTTCTATTTAAGAAGTGGATTATTGAATTAATTTAATAAGTTCTTGTATATCTTAATCATTTAGATCTAAATAAAATATGAATTATGTACTTTAATTGGTTAAATCCAATTTTTCAATAGGTAATCCTTTAAATAAGAGATCCTCAATTCGATCGATACCTGTTGCTTCATATAGTTTATTATTGGATGAAAAACTTCTAGAATCATGAGATTTTCTAAGTTATACTGAACCTCCAAAAGTTAATTCCCTTGGATTCAATCTCTATTATGGTGGTTCTTCTAAATGATGAGCATTTTTAGAGTATTGAAATGGTTTTGAAAAGGAGTTATCATGTCCTTTAGGTTTTGGACTACTATTAGTAAATGATAATGATTAATTAGATTTATTGGGATGATGATTAGAATTAGAATCATTTAAGGTTTTAACTCTTGTATTAATCCTATTTTATGATTAGTTTTTATTATTATTGTCATATTTTTTGATAGTACAAAATTATGGTAAATAATCATAGACAGTAAGATCGAATTTAATTTACATTTACTTATTGATAAGATCTTAAACGATGATAGTCTCTTGTTTGGCTAAATTATTGATTAATTATTCAGTCTATTGTGTTAAAGAATTAACCAAATCTACTTAAGAGTTAAGTTTATCATTAGATAAGAGTAACAATTACTCAATTCTAACTACATATAAAATATGGTAGTACCTTTCTTTAGTAGATTAAATTTAAGAGATTGCTTTTTTATCTATGGTTATATGCATTTATCGAATGTCATCTTCTATTTTCAATGCTACTATATTTAATTCATATAAGAGTTGACTTTCTATATTTCTGAGTTTAATTTGAAAATCTGAAAACTTCTATTATATTTACTCAATCAAACAACGTTTCTATTGAATAATCATTCTAAATGCTTCATTATAATTGGTTTACTAGTTCAATTCAAATTATTAATGAGATTCTTATAATTATTGATGACAATGTTATAATTGTTCTCTAGTCCATGGAATTTATTCTTTTTTGTAAATCTATTGTGGTTTACGAATGGAAACTGAATTGTCAGGAACATTGATAAATAAGCGAGTAGTAGATTGAGTTACAGTCTCTGATTTGGTAACAGAGATGTCTTATTATGAAGAATGAGTTGATGGCAGAATTCTTTCTGAACGTTGTGGTTAGGGATGTAACAATTCTTCATTAGTTCTTAATTGATTCAGTGAATTAATCTTTATACATTTCCTTGAAATACTGACAATATTGTTTACATGTCTTCTGGACAGATTATTTAATCATTCTAGAATAGACGTTTGAGACATTTTAGACAAAATGAGTGTCCACAATCCAAAATTTTTGGTATACATTAATTTTCATCCCAAACGCTGTAACAAGATGTACAATAATATCGATTGTATGTGCTCATAATATTTAAATTAATGTAATATATAATGATAAAAATTAAGTAATTCAATATAGTTAGAGTTTCTACATATTTATTGAATAATTAAAATAATACACATGATAACAAGAAGTATTAATTCAAACTTAAAATTAGTGATAAGAAAGATGGACATCTTTGGATAGCCAATAAATCTAAATCTAGATCTTAAATCTAAGTACCAGACTTTCTTGGGAGGATTTGTTTCGATGTTCATAGTCCTATTATTGATTGGTTACAGTGTTAATGAGATCATTGGATATACAATATAAAGAGGAATATAAATTACTTAGGAAGTAATATTCTCATATTATTGATAATAGACAAGATTCAATTATGATCCTGATGTGTTAGTACTTAACAATAAGAATTTCATTTTTGCTATTAGAGTTGAATAAGAAAGTTTCTATTAGTTTCCTTAATTCGATATTCAAGTTAGATAATACCAAAATAAAAAAGAAGTTTCAATGGAGTTGCAATAGTGTACTTTCTAACAATTCATTAATGTTTTAAATTCGAGTTAAGTGCTTGATTTCTTATAAGCAAACTAAGTTGATACTTGGTTATGTCCAAAATCTGAATTCTAAATTGAATTAGAAGGAACATAATTTTGTATGTAATCATATTTTGAAAGGAAAGCTGCTTAATTTTCAAATTTGATGATTGAGATTGGTGAATGCAAGTTAAGGAGTTCTTGGGGTAGTGAATGTCAGACAAGAACATAGAAGGATAGTTATAAGTTATAGATGATTACAAAAAATACAGTATTTATAAATAGTATAAGGTTTTAGTTTATCAATCCATTTAATAATGAATTTGTAGCTGAAGATTACTTAGACAATTCTATGAGTTTGTACTTCTAACCAGGAGATCTGTAGAGAATAGATTATCAATTTCATAAGCACATTACAAAAGATTATCAGGGACAAATTAAAATAGAGTAGAGATGCCAATAATATTAGAGGATTACTAGATGAATAAGAGTGGAATATCTTTTCGACAAATTCATTCAAACAGATCTATGAAGGCAAGAACAATTTAGTATGGTCTCGTATAGTGTTTATGCGAAGCAATTTCTCTACTAATTATAATAGAGAATATTAGACAGTGACTGATCTATTATCTAAAATTGGAGGTTTGTCTTAATCAGTGATTTCTATTGTAGGAGTAATAATTACTTATTATAATAGAGCATAATGTAATTAATAAGTAGTATATAGTTTATTTGGATATATCTAATCGTCTTTATGATTATGATTTTAATGGAGAAAATGATCAGGGTACCAAAGGTTCAGGATTAGTTGATCCATTACATTATAGTGTTTAACTTCATTAAGAAACATCTCAACCACTTAAGAAAAAGAGGAAAGTTGTAGACAAAACAAATATTATAAAATAGCCAGAAGAAGATTCTATGGATGAAGATCCTCAATTCAAAGAAAGAGTATTGAGAGTAGTAGAGGAGTAGAAGTAAATCATGGATAAGTATCAATTTAAGAGTAGGAAACATTTTTTATTATCAACTTTCTAATAAACTATATTGATGAAATAATCTATTTAACTTAATCTCAAATACTTTTTTTAGAAACTCTTTTGTAAAAAATCTGATCCTAAAGAAGATCCTCGTTTGTATGTATTATAAAAGGCTTTGACTTCAGTTAGACAAGAATTAGATGTATTTTCAATCTTAAATCGAATTCATCAATTAGAAAAATTGAAGAAAATCCTTTTAGACAGAGATCAATTAATTTTATTTAATTATTCCCCTAAACCAGTAATTGCTGTTAATGATAAAGACAAGGAAACTGATTTCTTACATTATTCTAAACAATAATCTCTTAAGCAAATGACTTTAGTAGATATAGCAGAAGATATTAAAAAGAAATTAAAATCAACTTATATTACAAAAGAACATCTCAGTATTGAAAATGTGTTTAATTCATATAAGGCAATAGCTGCCAAGAATAGAAAGTCCAATCGTTATTATTATAAAATCAATAGGAAATTGAAATAATTCTTAGGTGATCAAGTAAAGGCTATCTTTAAAGCTTCCAAATTATTAAAGTTTCCTGAAGATGATTAGATTCCAGATATGGGAATAGATGATATTATGTCAGTGGGAGGTGAAACAGTAGCCTAATATCCTTTGAGTATTCGTCCATCTGTGAATATAAATCATCAATACTAATGATAATTAATATATATTAACGAATTTATATATGTCTGTTATTTTCGAAGACATCGAGGTATTTATACATCCTACTAGTTAGAATTTAAACTATCTACAATTTCAATTTAACTAAGCCTTACGATTAGGCAAATTCATATACTATATAGGTACTGCTTTAGTATAAGTTAGAGAATTCTCTTCTTCGTAAGGTTAGCTTCATTGAAAACAATTGCTCAGATAGTGTCATAGTATAGGCTGAAGTTTCAATGATCTGTACAGATGGCAAACTTATATACTCCTTATTATGTAACAACAATTTTATAATCATATTAGAGAATGGAGACATCTATTAAATTGAATAGCCACCTCGTCTCCTTAAAAGTGGAAATAATTATAAGTGGATCTCTCCTATAGCAGCAATTGATCAATCTCATAGAGGTTTCATTTGGAAAACTAATAAACAAATATATAGTCATTGTAAACATATTTCCTCTTACCAGGATCGCATTACTCTAATTACAATTGGTGGTAAGATATTTAATGTTGTTGCTGATAAAACTATCCCAATACCATAATTGAATGGATTAAAATTGAATACATACTTTAAGAAATCCTTGCTATTCTCTTTTGGTGGAGTGGCCATAACAGAAAGTGGAGAATTTTATCTATTCAATCAAAAGATGATCAGAGTTAAAATAAAGGATATAAAAGATATCTTTTCTACTGATAAGTACATCTTTGCTATTCAAAATAATCATACAATTTTACAATATTCTATTGAAGACATTCAATCTCATCAATTCTTTACTAATTAATAGATCTTTTAAAAAATGCATTATTGTAATGATGTAGAATTCAAATGTAAACAGAAACAATTTCAAAACATTTCTATACTTCAATCAGAATATTCTTGCTCTTCTTTTGCATACATTAAAGAAAATAAGATTCTTGATACTAGTCTCAATTTAACTGACAAAACAAATTAAGTTCACAATAAAAGTAATAGTATACTTATAATGAAATAATCTTTATTTGATGATTGGGATTGCAAAAAGAAAATCTTGGATTCTAGAAGATCTACTACAATAGATAAATAACCATAAACAGAGTGTATAAATGAGGGATCAACATTAACTTTGGCATAAAAATTAGCAACTATAAGAGAGAGTTTAAATTTTGAAAAACCAATACCAGTATAAATTGAGAAAGATAAAAAAGATCGTAATAGATAATAAAGTCTTATTCAATTACATTAAGTGTAGATTGAAGATCTACCTTAAAATCCTACTCCTATAAAATTGGATAATTTACTTAATAAAATTCATGTTAATAAACCAGAAAAACCTATTGATTAATTATTATTAATATAAAATAAATAAGAATTGTAAGATTCATTACCAACCTTTTAAAATGATAATTAATTTACTAATAATAATGATACTTTAAATAATAAAAAAAAATCTAAATAAAATAATTGTACTTCAAGATCAAATAGAAGATAAGATAGTTTGTCAGCATAATCTGGCATAGAATTTTAAAATAATAGTGGATTTATTTAATAATAAGATAGTTTTGTAGATATTTTAGATAATGATTCAATTAAGAAAGATCTTCCTTTACAATTATAACCATTTGATAAATCTAATAAATATAAGAAAAATACATTAGATACTATTCAATCTTATGATAATGAATAAGATCCTAAAACTACTAATAGATTATCAAATAAAAAGGATTAAGTACTTTAATTAAGTAATAGATCACCAAACAAGAAAACAATTAGAGACCCATTAATTACTGAAAGAAGTTCAACTAAAAGAAATATTGAATAGGCAAAATAAGATTTAGAAACTTTGGTTAATATGATTAATAAATAAAAAGAAAACACTGAAATATCAAAATCTAATAGTATTGTTCATGTTAAATAAAAATCAAGTATAAGGATGATATCACCTCCTATATAAGTAGGATCTTCATTGACTAGACCTGAAAGTAAAATAACACCATTAAAAAATAGAAGGGCATCTCTTATTAGTGAAAGTTCTCAATAAGAATCATTTAAAATGCCTTAAAGGATATCAAAATAAAATATATCTTCAAAATTAAATACTTAATAATCATTCAATTCATCAAGTTAACATTCTTAATTCTAATTTGATTCTTAAAATTTTAGATAATTGAATACTTTATAAGATTAAGAATCATAATTAGATTTAAAGAGTGCTAAGACTATATTTGATTAATCACTTACTTAATAGATGAAAAAATTAGATTAATTAAAAGGATTAAAAAAAGTTTAATGTTCATCATAAGTAAACATATTACGTAACAACAGTTTGAATAAGAAATCAAGTATTATTGTTAATACTTAATAAAAATAATGTAAATAGAATTTGAGAAAACAAGAAGCAATATTAAAGAAATTATTCTTTCGATTAGATGTTAGATTAAAACTTTAATAATTAGAGTTTGTGAATAATTTGAAATGTTTACTTTGAATAATACTTTTCATATTATTATTATTATTGTATAAATATTATCAGCATTTAGAATAAAACATTTTATCTAATAAATTACTACTTAAATTATAAATTAAATTAATAAGAATGGAAATGAGTAAAATTAAAAAGACAATGATGAAAGTAAAAAAAAGAACAATTTAAGCTCTTCTTTATATATCTGAAGATGGATTTGATTTGGCAAAGAGTCCTTTTTTTAATTGTTGTAAAATAGTCATATATTTTTTATAATTGGAGGGATATGTTTTTAGTCAATTTGAAACTAAACATTTGAATTTGTCTGAAAATATTTATTTAGCCAATTATACTTAATTGTCCCCCTTAACTTTTCTATTACTTTAAATTGGAAACGATGTATTAACATCTTTCTTCTTTTATTTCATATTTTGTTTGCATGTCATTGTCTATTTGACATTAATTAAGATGTCTCTTGATTCAGATATTGCAAAACCAAATTACATTAAAAAAGTATTAAATCTATTTTTCATTAATTATTAATGGATATTTGTTACACCTTTTTAAGAAATAAGTGTAGGTGTTATGGTTTGTGGTAAGACAGCATTTATAAAGGAGAATCAATTCTCTCCTGATTGTGCATCTGAAAAAAATAAATTATTTTATGTATTTGGAGTATTAGGAACACTTTTTGTATCACTATCAGGATTTTCAATATCATATTTTTTTAGAAATTATTAATTTTATGAAAAAACTTTTTCAAGATCGTTTAGTTATACTAATGTATTCAGAATTATGTTGCATTAATTAGTAATAATACTTTATTATATCAACTTTCCAGGAATAGATTATGCAAAACATGCCTTTCAACAATTATTAGGAATATCTTTAATTTATGATATATTGATGAATTAACCATTTGGATATTCTTTTGAAGCTAATTTTTATAGTTCTGCTACTTTCACTCATTAATATTTCTTAATTTTGACATCAATTTGGATATTTAGTCCTGGATTGGAAGATTATTTTCTATTTTATACATTTCTTTTAATTGCACCTGTAAGATTTAATAATTATATTATTTAAAGTTATTTATAATATTGTCTAACCAATTTCAAAAGAGAGATTAAATTAAGATTTGTAATTCTTTCCAATTAACTATATACAATAATAGGGCTGATAAATATTTGGAAGAGATATATAGAACAGCTGAAGAAAGTGATACAAGTATCGAATCAAAAATATTATTTATTTAAATCCTTAATCATCACATATAATTATGTATAGATAATGAATGTTCATGTATGTTGAATGTTTAAAACTTCTTTTAAAATAATTCAGTTGATTATAAATAATTAAATTTATGGACAACTTATGTTTTTGAGAAATGTTTATAACTTGCTCTACTTAATCGTGATTATGAATTTTATGAACATTTAGCTTTAAAATATGTAACATTTTTAGCAAAATATAAAAATAATCCTATTAATGCTTATACAATATTGTAATAGATAATGAATAATTAATAATCACAAAATTTAAATATAAAGGGTCGTTAAGTATAATCTTCATCTTTTTATTTTCTCAACATTTAATTTATTTTATAAAAAAGAAATAGAGCTCAATTTTAAAATTAAAATATTCATCATTCTGAATAAATTCTTTAATTATTAAAGGGTCATTCAATTATTGAAAATATAGGTACTCTTTTACAATAAGAAATAAGAAGTTTAGCATTAATAAAATAATAATTTTGGGAAGATTATTATAATAATAAGATTTAATCATTTTAATAATTATTAGAATAATTGAATAAGATTTAAAATTCAATTCATACAGTTAATACACTTGTTAAAATGCTTAGAAGTAAAAATATTAAAAAAAAATAAATGATATTTGATTGTGTTAGCATATTAAATCTAGAATTATTATTTAAAATTTGTTCAACAAATAATATACTAGAAATTTATGAGATTTAACATTAAATTTAATAAATCCTATTTCTTGAATAATAAGAATTAGAATCATTTTTAAATTTTCATTTTTAAAATTAATAAAGTATAGGACTTGTATCTAATATCACTTTAAAAAGAAGAGGAGAATTATGGAAACCAAATTAAGCCTTACTTGAATAATACTTTAATGTAAATTTCTAGATATCTCATCTCAATTAATTAATGCCTCCATTCATTGCTGATATACATGATGGTATCATAGAAAATTTTATTAGAAAGGGATATAGTTATAAAATGGAATAAACTAGTTTGATATTTTCTATTTATGGAGATGGATTAATATAACCTCTTTAATTTACTTTAGGATATTTCTTTCCTAAATTTTCATCTGATTTTGAATTTTATTTAATGGCTTTTTTTAAAAAAATTGAAAGTAATTAAAGAGCAGGTAATACAGAAAAAAGTAATATAGGCTATATATATTTTGATATCAATTTAAATATTTTAGGAGTTAATGAAGTTGTATATAATAAAGTATTTAATTAACAAAGTTTAGATTTAAATAAATTGGAATTATGTTATATTATACCTTCAATAATAGATTCATTAATATCTTAATATCATTTTATGATTGAAAGATAAATTAGTGAATTAGTTGATAATGATATTATTATGTAAAAATAATAAGAAACATTTTATGTACCTAAAGATTTAAGAAGAATATACTAAATTAATTAAAATTGTAATTTAAAGAATAGATTGTCATAATTAGAAGATATTTAAGAAGATATATAAAAGGCTAATCCTTTTGGAGATTTAAAACAATATTAAATTAGTTATTAATTATTTTCCAAAATTATTTATTATTAAAAAGGAAATCTATTAACAAATAAGGAATTCTTTTTTTTGAAGGTATAATTTTTAGAGGAACAAGAAAATAAAGTTGATTTAAAAGATTATAAAGATTCAAAATTAAATAATTAACCTTAAAATATTTTAAATACTCCAAATGGTAGTTCTATTTCTAGTTAAAGTATAGAAAATGCCATACTAGAATTAGGATCATAAAGATCCAAATCAAGTAATTAATCTTTACTCTAATAATCAAATTAATTTCATAATCAATTATTGAACAATAAAAACAAAAACATTACCTTATTATTTATATTAATAAATCTTATCTTTGCCATTTTCTTTTTAGCTACATTTATTATCATCAGTTTCATAATTTTGAGTAAATTTTAAATTGCAAATTATTGCATTTCAACATAGACTCATGTTTTAAGAGAAACATCATCTTTAGCTAGTGTTGTTAATGCATTTAATAATGAATAATTATGTAAAACTATCCCTTTAAGTAAAATCACATTACAATTTGATTCATAAAACACTTTTATTTCATCAGATGAAAATTTATTATTATAATAATAATTGATCTCATATCTAACTCATTAGATTACATTAATTATATAGGAAAGAAATTTTTAAATGGAAACTTAAGAATAATTATAACTAATTTATGTAAATGAATTGATTGCTAGTAGAAATATATAAAGTCTTTAAAACTTTTTAATATTAAGATAAATCATATTAACAAGCATTTAAAATAATAATATTAATAGGAATATAAAAGATTTAAGTACTATTATAATAAACTATCCTACACATATTAGGTATTTAAATGAAGAAATAATCAATTGTTTTATGGAATTTGATAATTAATTAAATTCATCTACTAATACATCAAATTAAGTTATTATCAGTCTCTATGTATTATTATTTATAATTTTTGTACTTTAATTATTAGTTATCAATAAACTTTTTCGTTAAAGAAAATTAATACTTAAACTATTTACAAGAACAGATTATAAGGAAGCTTTATTAGAATCAGAGAAATTTGGTGTAATTTAAAATACATTAAGAAATTTAGAAAATATTTGGTTATCTAAAAATATATCTGTTGTACTTCATTCCATTAATTAAAAATCATTAAAAGATGATGATGATCAAGGTTATTAATAAAAATAATCAGATAGAGGTAAATCTTTGAAAACAGAGAAATTAGATAATTTTGACAATGCTAAATTTAAAATATCAATATCTCACTAATTATCAAATTTATTAAGTTTATTAATAATTATTGGAATTACAGTATTCACATTTGTATATATAATATCATTTCATGTTCAAATAGTTAATTCATCCTAAAACCTTGATTAATACTCATATTTTAGTCAAATTTTATAAAAATTTTATTATGATTATTTGAATTCTTATAGTAATTGTCAATATTAAATGATGTTACAAACATATAAATATTAAAAAGATGCTGAAATATTGTAATTAATTTATAAATAGAATTAAACTCAATAAGATAAATTAAGTAAGGATTTAGATCATTTAAATACTAATGAATTTAGTACCATATTATTGGCTTCCAATTAAACAGATATATAAAATATACTATTGATGAAAGATACAGATTTAGAATTATTTTTTTAAGGATATTTGTGTTAAGTTGATGAGTCAATATGTTAAATAGAAAATAGAGATATAGATTATCAATCTTAATTAATGTCTTATTATAATAGAAGTGAACATCAATTGCTTTTACAATAGGGATAAGTATTTTATTAAAATAGTTAATTATATAATTTGAATGATTCTGATATTATTATAGATAAGATAAAAGAGATAATGACTTCATCTGATTATTTTTTAAATAATATTTGGGGTTTTGATATCATAAATTAAAGGATATCAAATAGTATAATATATTTGACAGAACGTATGACAAATAATGTTTAATAATCTGGAAATTCTATGTTTTTATTTGCTTTAATTTTGGGAGTATTTTATTTTTTTTTAACATTGATTGCATTATTACTTTTTGGTAAATATTCAAAGAAATAGAATTAAATAATAAGACATTATTTAATATAAATACCATTTACAACAATATTAAAAAAAAACATTTATTAATAATTAAAATTTATAGATTGAATAAGTGTAATAAAAATATTTGTTAATATTAATTATTTTATGTAATTTTGAATATCCTTAATAATATTGTGTTTATTCGAGAATTTGTATATTATTTTTATACTATTATTTATAAAATTAAATTTAAAAAAAGTGATGTACAACACACAACCTCAATTCTAAAATATTGTTTAAGTAAATATTGATGAAAATTTAGTCACAAAGAGTTACAAATGATAGCTTAATGGATACAGTTTCAGAAATTAGATGGAATAAAGATGTTTTTGTTACTTCATCTTGGGATGGATATATCCGGTTCTATTAGGTTTAATTGTAATCTGGATATAGGGCAAATATTTAAGTAGATTTTAAGACAGCTATTGATTGTTAAGAGCCGTATATTGTTTAAATAATTAGTTAGAGTATTATCTGTAAGTTGGAAACAAGACATGTCTATGGTATTTGCAGCATTAGCAGATAATACAATTAGAGCATATGATATAAAAACATAAAATAGTGCAATAATAGGAATTCATGATGATTGTCCTGCAAGATAAGTATTTTGGAATGAGGACATGAAATTAATAATATCATTAGGTTTAGATAAAAAGATAAGATTTTGGAATCTATAATCTAGTGGTGGAGGAAAACCATAGCCTGCATTTTAATTAGATTTATAACATGTACCAACAGTTGGAGAATAGAGTGGAAATGAATAATTTTTTGCATATGCAGATGTAGATAATAAATTTAGATGGTTACATTGGAGTGCATTAAGAGGAGTTTAAAATAGTGTAGCATCACGAAGTTTCTTTAATATGGAAGATAATTATCTAATTGGATAAATATCATGTGTGGCAATTAATGAAAATGCTTCATAATTAGCATATGCAACAGTTGATGGAAGAGCATTAGTTAAATCTATTAATAGTAGAGGAGATTTAGCAAGCAAACTTTAATTTAAATGTTATAAAGTAGATGAAGAAGTTAAAGTATCATAATATCGAACAGAGAAAGTATCTAGAATGTATATGTGTAATGCTTTTTAATTCAATTGTCGATCATAAAATTGGGTTAGTACTTGTGGATCTGATGGAACTTTAGCATTTTGGGATACCAATAAAAAAAACAAGATATTGGGTGTTAAATTAGATGGACCAGTTGTTGCAGGATAAGTATCATAAGATGGATAGATATTTGCATATGCCACTGGTTATGATTGGGCATAAGGATTGGATAAAGTAGGTGAATTTACAAATAGAGTTGGAGCAGCTTATATTGAAGATAAATTTCTACCTTCACATTGATGATTATAAATATACTATAATTAAATAATTAATTTGTTAAGTAATGATTAAATAGTTTCATATATTCATTGATGGTTATTAAAATGTATGAGTTTTATTCTTAATATACTTATTTATTGACTATAAAATAGATTAAATTATAAATTAACTTAAATTTCAATAAAATCAATTTTATATATATATATAATTTATGATTCATAAAATGATTATTCATAATTATAGCTTAGTTATTATAATCACTATTTTTATTCTAGAATTATTATAATTGTAATGATTATTGTTATGAGAAAGAGGATATCAAAGCAAAATCATCTAGAAAATGATGTTATATAGTAATGGATATAATTAGAGGAGATTGAATTTAGATTTTAATTATAAATGGGTAATTAATAATATAATGTTTAATTTATGCTCATTCATTTCCTTTTGGGTCATTTTCTAAAATAATGAATGTGAAATTATTTTTAATATAAAATTTTAATTTATGGAAATTTAATAAGGGGATCAATTAAGAGTAGCTGCAAAGCATCATATTGAAAGTTTTAATTACTTGTACACTCATGGTTTGGTTGAAATATGCCGACATCTAAGTCCTATAGAAGTTTGTGTTCCTGGTAATAGAGACATTCGATTACCATTTAAGAATATGAAAATTTGGATTGAGGAACTCTAAATAGGGATGCCAACATAATAAGGAATGTTGGGAGATAATAGAGTTTTACCAACTCAATGTAGATAGATGAAGAAGAGTTATACTGCTCCAATGTTAGCCACAATTTGTAGAGAGATAGATGATAATCCAAAGGAGACAGTCCGTTTGTCTTTAGGAGAAATACCAATATTAGTGAAGAGCCAGAAGTGTCATTTAAATGGGCTGAGTGCAGAAGGTATTTTTGATTTGGCTAAATGAAAGAATTGGTGTAATAACAGGAAGATTGTAATGAATTCGGAGGTTACTTTATAATAAATGGAAATGAGAAGATAATAAGAATGTTGATCATTTAAAAAAGGAACTACCCAATTGCATTCAAGAGACCTGGTTACAAGAACAAAGGATTTAATTTCTCTCCTTATGCAGTATAAATGAAATGTGTTAGATCAGATTAATATGCAAGAACAATTACTTTACATTATTTAATGGATGGTAATGTTTATTTGCGTATCATATTAAAGAAGAAGGAATTGCAAATGCCTGTAATAATATTATTAAGAGCATTAACAGATATGAATGATTATCAAATTTATTAATAGATAGTGCGTTCATAAGCAGAAAAATCAGATATATCTGATAGAGTAGAAGTAATGATAGCAGATGCTAAATCAAGAGGAATTAATACTTAAAAAGATGCCCTTGAATATATTGGTAGATTACTTAGAGTAGAACTTAATATATTTAATCCAGAGACTACTGATCTTTAAGTTGGACGTATATTCTTAAGAGAACATATATGTGTACATTTAGAAAATGATTAAGATAAAGCTTCAATTCTTTTATTGTGCATTGAAAAATTATATGCTCTTTTTATAGAGGAAATTAATCCAGATAATTTGGATTCCTTAGTCAATTAAGAGGTTCTCCTTTCTGGACATCTCTATACTGCATATTTAAGAGAAAAGTTAGAAGATTTGTTAGTTGGAGTCAGAGAAAAAATATTGAAAGATGCAACTAAGGAATAATCAAAATTAAAAGATTTAGCTTATTTTAAAAGATGTTTTGATTTATAAACTACTGTTGGTGAAAAATTGGAAAATTTCTTAGCTACTGGTAATTTGAGATCTCAAACTGGATTAGATTTAATGGAAGCAAGTGGATTCACTATTATTGCTGATAAATTAAATAATATGAGATTTTTATCTCATTTTAGATCTGTTCATAGAGGATCTTATTTTGCATAAATGAAAACAACTACTGTACGTAAATTACTTCCTGATGTTTGGGGATTTGTCTGTCCTGTCCATACTCCAGATGGAGGACCTTGTGGTCTACTTAATCATATTACAATGAGTTGTGTACCATTAACACATCCAGATGAATAAGATATTGAAGAATTGTTATTTCCTTTAGGAGTTTAATCTTAACGTTTAATTTATTCTAAAAATGATCTTCCAGTAGTTTTGAATGGTAAATTAATTGGTTATTTAAATTCATAATTATTACCCACTTTTGAACATACACTTAGAGTTTATAAATCTAATGGTAAAATTAAAGAAACAACTGAGGTTGCTTGTCTACCTAGACAAGAGAATAAGTCTCCTCTCTTTCCTGGCATATATATAAATACTACTGTAGCAAGATTAATGAGACCAGTTATTAATTTGAAATTGAATACAATTGAATGGATTAGTCCTTTAGAATAAATTAATATGAGTATAGCTTGTACATAAGCTGATATTCGTACTGACACTCAATATTAAGAAATTGATCCTGCATATATATTAAGTATTCTAGCTTCAAATGTTCCATTCTTAAATTATAATTAAAGTCCTAGAAATATGTATTAATGTCAAATGGCTAAATAAACTATGGGATCTCCATGTCACAATTACCCTTATAGATTTGATAATAAAATGTATCGTATCCTCTTTCCTTAAAAACCTGTTGTAAGATGTTTCGGTTATGATGATTATTAATTTGCAGATTATGCAAGTGGAACCAATGCTATAGTAGCAGTTATCAGTTATACTGGATATGATATGGAAGATGCTATGATCTTATGTAAATCTAGTTATGAGAGAGGATTTGGACATGGTATAATTTATAAATCTACAGAGTATTCTTTGAATGATGATAAAGAAGTTAAATACAAACTACTCAGTCAAATACCTGTATAATTATATAATCAAATCAAATCAAATATTCCAGTAAATTTATTACCTTATGGATTACCTGAATAATCTTAAGTTATTACAAAAGGAACTGCTGTATTAGCATTATACGATAGTTAATTACAATAGGTGAAAGTTCATCATTCAAAAGACAGTGAGACATCAAGAATTGAGCAAGTAGCTGTAGTAAATAAATCTGAAAATGATGTTTCTGTGATGATCAAATATAGAATTAATCGTAATCCAATAATAGGTGATAAATTTTCATCTCGTCATGGCTAGAAAGGTGTAATGTCTTTATTATGGCCATAAATTGATATGCCATTCTCAGAATCAGGAATGGTACCAGATATTATTATTAATCCTCATGCTTTTCCATCTAGAATGACTATTGGTATGTTAATAGAAAGTATGGCTGCTAAGGCAAATGTTTTATAAGGAGAGATGTTTGAAACTCATCCATTTTAACCCTATGAGAATGATAATGTTGTTGATTACTTTGGAAAACAATTAATTAAACATGGTTTTAATTATCACGGAAATGAAACTTTATATTCTGGAATTTATGGAACTCCTTTAAAAGTTGACATCTACTTTGGAGTTGTATATTATTAAAGATTAAGACATATGGTATCAGACAAATCCTAAGCAAGAAGCATGGGACCTGTTGATGTACTCACTCAATAACCAATAAAAGGTAGAAAGAAGGGAGGAGGTATAAGACTTGGTGAAATGGAAAGAGATGCTTTGATTGCTCATGGTGTTGCTTATTGTATTAATGATCGTCTTTTGAAATGTTCAGATTACTCTGAAAGTATTATAATATATTAATTATAGCCTACATTTGTGATAAATGTGGTAATATGTTAGCCACTTATTAATTTGTCTAATTATTGTCCTTAGAAAATATTCAATCTGTTTAGAGTTCTCATCCTTATTGTGTAAGATGCAAACAATCAAAATGTTCTAAGGTAGCCATACCATTTGTACTCCGATATCTTGTAAATGAATTGGCAGCCATGAATGTTAAATTAGAATTTTCTGTTGCTAGATGAAATTGTACATTATATATATATTTTATCAATATTATGATTGATGAACTATTAAAAATATCTTAAATTCCATATTTTTTGTTAATTCTAATAGTATTTATTCATTCTAATTATTTATTAACAAATATCTAAAATTTTATATTTATAAACTTTTTTCTAAAATCATATCAAATAATTTCTTAATCTCTTAATAGAATACTATCTATGCTCTTAAGTACATATATGAAAATATAATTAGAGAGAAGAAAAAGTTTGAAATTGGAAATATATTCTAGTGATCTTATAATTATGAATTAAAAATTATTTTATATTATTAATTAATGGATCAAAGTAATAAAAAAGAAGTACACTTAAATTCAAAAGGATTAGATTAGTTTCCTATAATTCTATAAGTACGTTATTTGAACTTAAGTAATAATAATATAAAGATGATTCCTAATAAAATAGTTGAGTTATAATAATTGGAGATATTAATATTGAATCATAATTATATAAGTGCTTTTCCAAAAGTTTAGATGCCAAGATTACACACTTTAGATATTGCAAATAATGAATTAAAAACAACTGACTTTTCAAATTTGAGTTTAGTGTGTTTGGATATTCAACAGAACTAATTTGAAATTTATCAACATTTATCTTTTATTCAATAATTAAATATGAGTTGGTTTCTATTAATTGATATGGATAGTAAGCAATAAAATTTGTTAAGAAGTACAATAGGGTAATTGTTGAGAAATCATAGGGAATTTAATTTTACACATTTTGTAAATGTATTTTCATCATTTACAAATACAGTGTTAATAAAAGCAATTTAATATGATGAAAGAAGTGTGATACCTTCTATTTGTACATATCATCCAGAATATTTGATGAGAATGTACCATCCTTAACCTATTATATTGGCAGGAAAATTAAATATTAAGTATATTATTATATTAAATTTATAGAATCTTTAAGATTTTATTGGACCATATTGATCCATGTTCTAAATTAATTAGATTTGTATTTTTATGGGCATGTAGTAAATTGGAATTAGAGATGGTAGAATATATGATAGAGAAACAAATATATGGAGTTTGGGAAGAGAAAATGCTTGTGATTAGTTAGAATGTAGGAACACCT